TGATAACGCTCTTGAGATTGTGCATCGTTTTCACGGTTAGTTAGTTCTCCTAGACTTTGATGGGACGTAGCTTGCTCATGCCTTTACTTATGTATTCATTTTTCAGGTATCCGGTGTTACGCGTCCTCGGCGAGGCCGCCTAAGATAGCAACGAGCGGGTCTCCCGCGGCCATTGTCTTCGGTCTGACCTCTTCGGAGGGTCCGCAGACCGGGGGCGGGTCCACTCAGTCGCAGCTGGCGCTGGGGCGCACGGGGACCCTTAAGCTGACCGTCCCCAGCGGTCAGGATACGGCTCGACCCGCGAACAAGCGGCCGCTGGATGTGGTGGAGGTACGAGATGAGCCGTCCGTGGGGAATCAGCCCAAGCTGAAGGGGATCCTGGTTGACCAGCGTTCCGAGCCGCCAGTCACCCAGAAAAAGTAGAAGACCACCACCCTTACCTCCAATGCGGCGTACTCACCGCATGTGACTTCTTCGGCTGAGCCAGCTCGCCGCGCCCTTCACGCGATTGCCGAGGGGTTCGCAGTTCCCAGCGAGTACATGCATGTTGCGGGTGCTATCCCCACAACTTCTGATACTCGTCATCTGGCTGGGACGACCACTCGATGCTTCTTTCCGGTGAGTGACTTAACTTATTTTCAGCTCCGCTGTTCAATATGTGTATGGTACTGACCGGCTTTGTGGGTGTAGGCTCAATTCGGGATAAGCCAACTTATCCTGGCTAACGAGCGCCTGCTCGATGACTTGGGCGACCGCGAGACCAAAATCCTCACGCTCGAGGAGCAGGTGAAAGAGGGGCGCGAGGGTTTCCGCAGGGAGTTGTGAGATGAGATCCTCAAGGAGCACGAGGCGGCCTTAAAAGCAAAGGATGACGAGCTGCAGACCACCAGGGGGGATCTGTCGAAGTCAGCGCGGGAGCTGGAGGATGCTCAACAGAAAGTGCGGGAGGCATCCGAGCGGGAGAAAAGGCTGCAGAGCAAGGTGGAAGAGTTGGAGGCCCGGGTGGCTGATTTGGAAGCGCTGCGGGAACGGGAACTCCACGAGGCTAGGGAGGACGCTCGCGCAACCTTCTTTGACTCGGACGAGTTCAAGGCGGTGGATGAAGCTAAGTACCAAAAGTTACTGCGGGATACGGTAGCTTCCATCCGCCACCTGTTCCGCCGCAAGCACCCATACGTGTTGTGGGATCAGAATGCGGTCTGGGACGCGGTGGAGTTTTGAGGTGACAATGATGTCAACTCCGAAATGGAAAACCAGCCCGCGGCCGCCGCACCCACCACTGGGGAAGAAGTGAACCAGCCCGCTTCCACTGAAGGCGGCTCCTCCTAGTTCAATCGGCAATTTAATCAAGTGTTGTTTTCTTACTGCCTTCTCTTGCTTTCTCCCTTCGGGGAGCTTGATACATTCCGCCTTCGGGCGAGGTTTTGTAATATTTGCTTTGGACGGCGCTTGCGCTTCTTCTTCTTACGCTCCGGATGTTTGGAAATCTTTACTTGCAATTTTTATTGTCTGTGTTTCCTCCTCCTCTTCTTTCGTTGGGGAATCACTTTTGAAGGGAAGTCTCGCCCCTTGGACTTCTGCCACCGGGGTGGCTTTGGTCCTTTTACTACAAGCGCCTCGTACCGTTCGGGGGCGGTTTAGTAGCCTGTGAGGTGGGACTGCATTTGCGAGACCTTTGCGAAGTATTATGTTATACATTCCACTTTGTGACATAGTTTCTGTCTGGGTTGGGGGCATGGGCCCTTATTGTTCAAGTTAGGAACTTGGGGGAGTTTCGCGAATGTTATGTGTGATACAAGGGCGGTTTAGGTAGTGACTTAACCTCCCAAAGTTTCCCGGCATGGCCCCTTATTGTTTAGGTTGGGGATTTAGTTGGGTGCGTCGCTATCGCTCTGGGGCGGTTTAGCCCCTAATATGGCGTTGCAGGCGGGTGTATGCGAGTAGTTAGCGGCTGTGTTAGGCGGCCGAGAGTTATGAGAATAACTTAGATATGTAACATAAAAACATATCGCTCAGTGGCGACTTGAATTACTGAAGTCATTGACAGGATTGTTGACTACCACTCTCACAAAAGCGCCTTTAACTGCGGCGTTGACTCCTTACAAAATTCCTACGGCTTACTCCTCCTTACTCGCTGTGGTACTTCCTTATGTGAACAGCATTCCAAGTCTTGGCTACTGGTTGCCCCTCCATGGCAGCCAGCTTGCCGTGCCCCTCTTTTTGCTCGAAATTCCTCTTTAGCACCATATCTCCTTCCTCAAGCGGGCGAGGTTTCAACTTCTCGTTGTAGATTTTGGCAACCTTGAGCTTTTCCTGTATGGTTCTCACCAGGGTCGCGTCTCTCCTTGCCTCTATCATGTCCAGCTGGTGAAGAAGCTTTTTGTGGTTTTCCTCTGGGTCGTATGTCTGGACCCTTAGCGAGGGCAGAACGACCTCGGTGGGAGCAACCGCCTCGGAGCCATACGTCAGGGCGAATGGAGTTTCTCCGGTTTCTCTCTTGTAGTTTGTACGATGCGCCCAGAGCACGTGTGGTAACTCGGCGGTCCACCCCCCTTTGGCTTCCTTGAGCCTCCTTTTCAGACCCCTGAGGATGAGTTTATTGGACGACTCCACCTGCCCGTTGGCTTGCGGGAAAGCGACTGAGGCCATTCTGCATGTGATGCGGTTCCTGGCGCAGAAATTTTCGAATGGCCTGCAATCGAACTGTGTCCCATGGTCAGTGATGATTGTATTGGGAGTACCAAACCTGATCATTATGTTGTTGAAGAGGAATTTCTAGATCTTGGCACTAGTGATTGTGTCTAGCGGCTCGGCCTCTATCCATTTTGTGAAGTAATCAACCGCCACCACCAGATATTTCTTTCCCAAGGGGGCGGTTGGAAAGGGACCTAGCAGGTCCAGCCCCCATTGTGCAAACGGCCATGGGCTTGTTATGCTCTTCAGCTCCGCGCTGGGCAGGTGTTGTTTGCTGGCGTGAATTTGGCATTCATGACATGCACGGACCACCTTCTCAGCATCCTTTTTTACCGTTGGCCAGTAGTAGCCTTGTAACAGGATTGTCTTTTCGAGGCCCCTCGGGCCTGCATGAGAAGCGCATGTGCCCTGATGTATCTCCTTGATAATCCATTCCGCCTCTGCTGGGCTTAAGCACTTCAGGTAGACGCCTGAGAAGGACCTCTTGTGCAACTGCCCACCCACCATGCTGTAATGGGCGGCCTTCCGTTTGATCAGCTTTGCTTGGGCTTCATTGCTTGGCAGAGCGTCCGTCTGCAAGTACTCGATGATAGGAGAGCGCCAGTCGGCCGCTCCCTCTTCGATGGCCATGACCCCCTCGTTGGGCGGGGCCTCTTTGGTAATGGTGACTTGACGATCGCCTTCGAAGTCCATAGTCGTGGCCAGCTTGGACAGGGCATCCGCGTGATGGTTGTCTTCTCGCTTGACATGCTCTAGCTTCCATTCTTCCAACTGTGAGAGGACGCCTCTGACTTCGTCGGCTAACTTTGCAAGCGCTTCTTCCTTAGCTTCGTAGTTTTCTAAGACTTGGTTGACTACCAACAGGGAGTCGGAGCAGATGTGGAGGCGTGTGGCGCCCATTCCCATGGAGATTCTGAGACCGCTCAATAGGGCCTCGTACTCTGCTACGTTGTTGGTCTTCAGCTCCTGAAATCTGTGGGAGAACTCATGTATGATTCCTCGGGGTGATTCGAGCACAATTCCAGCACCTGCTCCACTTTTTCCGGCAGCTCCGTCCACGAACATGCACCACACTTCAACTTCTCCTTCCACCTCGGTGGTGTCGAGGCTAAAACCTTCTGCCACGAAATCCGCCAACACCTGCCCTTTTATGAAAGGACGCGACGCGTACGTGATGTCGTACTCGCTGAGCTCGACCGCCCACTTAGTCATCCTTCCCGAGGCGTCCAAACTTCTGAGTATCTTTTTCAAGGGTAGGTTGGACAGGACAGCGATTGGATGCCCCTGGAAGTAAGGGCGTAGTTTTCTCGCCGCGGAGATGACCGCTAAGACCGCCCTTTCAATCGGCATATATCGCCTTTCAGCTGGAAGGAGGGCTTTGCTGACATAGTATACGGGATGGTCTGTGCCATCGGCGTCCCTCCTTACCATGGCTGAGCTGACTGCTTGATCAGAAACCGCCAGGTACAGATATAGGGGCTCGGCCTGGAGGGGGGCGCTAAGGACGGGGGGAGAGGCCAGCTGTTCCGTCAGCTGAAAAAAGGCTTTGTCGCATTCAGGTCCCCATTGTAGGCGAGACGCGGATTTCTTCAGCATTTGGAAAAAAGGTGAACATTTGTCCGCCGACCGCGGGATGAAGTGGCTCAGGGCGGCCATCTTTCTATTGAACGCCTGGATTTTTTTCACCGTGCGGGGCGGTTTCAGGCTGAGTATTGCTTCAATCCGCTTTGGGTTTGCCTCTATGCCCCTGTTAGTGATCATGAATCCTAAAAACTTTCCCGCTTTTGCTCTGAACACACATTTCAGCGGATTCAGCCGGAGGCGCTCTCTTCGAAGCGTTTCGAATGTTTCCCTTAGATCGGCCAAGTGATCGGCCCCTCTCTTGCTTTTGACTAGGACGTTGTCAACATAGGCTTCCACGTTTCGGCCCAACTGCTTCTGGAACACTGTATCAACCATCCTCTGGTACGTCGCGCCTGCGTTCTTCAGACCAAAAGGCATGACCGTGTAGCAGAAATTTCCCATGTGCGTCATGAACGCGGTCTTCTCTTGGTCCTCTTCCGACAGGCGTATCTGGTGGTAGCCTGAGAACATGTCCAGGAAACTTAGCATCTCGTGATTTGCAGTCGCATCGATCAGCTGGTCGATTCTGGGGAGGGGATATGCGTCCTTAGGACAGGCCGCGTTGAGGCTTGTGAAATCGATGCACATTCGCCAAAGACCGGACGCTTTTCGCACAAAGACAGGGTTGGCCAGCCACGTTGGGTATTTTACTTCTCTGATGAATCCTGCCTTCAGCAAGCGCTTTACCTCCTCTTCCAATGCCATCTGTTTTTTTCAAGGGAGGCGTTCCTCCTCCTTTGCTGTACTGGCCGCGCCTTGCTTTTGATTGACAGGGAGTGTTCGGCCAGCTCCCGTGGGACGCCTGGCATGTCCTCCGACGTCCACGCAAATAAATCTTTGAATTCCTTTAGGAGGGACAAGAGCTCTCGCGCCTGCTCTTCCGCCAAGTGAGCTGCGATTCTAACCTTCTTCTCCGGCTCGTCGTCGTCCAGCACCACCGCGACGTTTTCCTCGGACGCTTCGGGGCGTGGGTGACTTCCCCTTGTGTCCACTTGGTCGACCTCCAAGTTCCTGACGGTGGCTTGGTAGCATTCTTTGGCCTGCTGGGAGTCACCAAGGACGCGTCCTATCCTGCCCTTGGCGGGAAACTTAAGTATCTTGTGGCAGGTAGAAGGGACCGCCGAGGAGGCTGACAGGAAGCCGCGCCCCAATATGGCATTGTAGGCGGAGGGGCAGTCCGCTACGTGGAAGTCCATGAGGCGCGTCTTCGTCACATCTGGGCCCCCGATCGTCACCTGGAGAGTGATGGAACCCAGAACCCTGACTTTGGATCCGGAGAATCCTACCAGGCTGGTCGTGGATGGTTTGAGGTCCTGTAGTCCTTTCTTCATGCTCTTGAGCGTGGAGTAGAACAGGATGTCTACTGAGCTTCCGTTGTCAACTAAGGCCCGGGTGACCTTAAACTTCTACGTGCGGAAAGAGATGACCAACGGGTCTTCTCCACACTCTTCGGGAGCCAGTTCCGAGGGTGCGAAACTGATCTCGACTTGTTCTTTCCTGTGCACGTTCATGCATTGCACCAAGCGGTCCCCCTCTGTCCGAGGACGCTTGTGTCCTCCAGCGATGGTGATTATTTCGACTCCCTCTTCCTCTTCTCGAGGCGGGTGTCAATGAGGAGGGGCGTGCCTTGGCGGCGGCGGAGGCAAGCGCTCCCTCCGTGGTGTTCGCTCTCTTCTCAACGACCGGGATCTCCGACGTCTGGGCGTGCGGGACCTTCTCCTTGGGCTGGGCGACCTATCCCTTTCCTCCGTTCTATCCCTGGGATGCGCCCGTGTGTCCAGGCGGCTTTTCAGGTCTCCCGGTGCCAGGTACTTGAGGCTGGCTTTGAACTCACGGCACTCTGTGGTGTCGTGAGTCGGTAGCTGATGCCAGTCGCACCACTTTTGATCGTCGTCCCTCCTTTGGCGGGGATGCGCTTCCCGGGTTTTGCTTCCATCGCGGCGTCCGTCGTCCTCTTTTTCTGACGCGAACACTTCACGCCTTCCGTCCCTGTTGTTGAACCTGGGCTTGTAGTTTCGTCGCTCGGGCGTGCGCCCCCTTCGCTTTGGCGACCCGTTCCTTCCTTTTTCCACTTTGCTTGACGACGTTGGGGCCCCCTTTGCGCCTTCTTCGGCGTTGAGCGCTTCTTCCAAGAAAATGGCCTTTCGTACCACGCGGTCTAAATCTTGCCAAGACTTGATGTTGTGCTCCTTTTTGATGAGAGACCTCTTTAGTTCCCGGCTGTGCGTCGACATTCTCAGGTTCCCAGCGGCCACGCTGGTTGAGACGTCTTGGACCTCGCAAGCTATTGTATTCCATCGGTCGTAGAAGTCGGCCAAGGTTTCCTCTTCTCCTTGCTTGCAGTTGATGAGGGCGGAGACCGTGAGCTGCCTCCTGCGCTGAGAAGCGAACTTCAAAGAGAAAAGGGTGGCGAACTGTTCGAACTTCTCGATTATCCCGGCTGGTAGGGACGCGTACCAGCTTCGGCACTGCCCCCCGAAGGTGACTGGAAACGCCTTGCACAGATCAGCGTCTGAGGCGTTAATCAGCTGCATCTTGAGCATGAAGGCGCTCAAGTGATCCGACGGATCTGAGTTTCCCGTGTAGGCAGGAAGACCAAGCGACGAGAAGTTTGATGGCACCTGGGTTTTGAAGAGGCTCTTCGCCAAGAGGTTGTGCAGCACGTTGTAGCCCTTAGGCTTCCCGTAGCAGGGGCGCAGGTGTTCTTCGAGGAGGTCAAGGTGGACGCCGTCAGCGTCTTCCTCTCTGTCGGACTCTCCGTCTTCTGTGCGAGGGAGGCTGGGAGGCATCTCTCCGTCCACCCTCTTGCCCTTGCCACCTCGCATCTTAGAACTTTCGGGCTCATCTCTTGTTTTGAGCATGGTGAGAATCTAGCTCAAACTCTCTTGCATACTGGTGATCTGCTGCCCCTGGTCTCTCACACGCTCTTCCATATCCTTTTCTTCCTCAACCGTCGGGATTTCCAAACCTCTGATGCTTTCCCCGCCGATGACGTCCTTCACTGGAGTTCTGAAGTTTCCCTCCATCTTTCGATTCAAGCGCTCCGCTCCTGCCCCACGGTGGGCGCCAAATTGTTTGTGCCTAGTAGATACTAGGCGGTTTGTGGAGCTGGGGCGAGGCGCCTGTTCTTGGATGTCGGGAAGGACTCCCGATACTCTGCAAAACAACGGTCCGGGGCGGTTCGCCCGGGACACTCTCCGAAACTTAAGTTAGAGAGAGAAGTGGAGAGATAAGAATTTATGTAGAGAGATGAATAGTAGTTGGCCTTACCATTAATGCACTCACCCTCTATTTATACCTGGTTAAAGGGTGGTTGGGGCATTAAATGTTGTGTCGGGCGTCCCAGACCTGGTCGGGCGCCCTGTGTAGGCTTTTTGGGTAATGTCAGGCGTCCTGGGCAGGCTTTCAGCCTTTTTGCAGGCCGCCTGTGGCTGGCAATAAATGCTCAGTCTTGCCTGACACCAGATACGCATCTTCAACGGCTCCCTGCCCTTCTGTGCTGCTCAGTTGCTTTATGTCAGGCGCCCTTATATATTCCTCGGGTTCGCAGTCGATCATGGACCGCCCACTGACCCAGTCTTCCGATCGGGCCCGGCCTCCTTATTGGGCCTTAAAGTCCAACTCGCCTCTCTTGGGCCCGAGGCCCAAGTACGCTCAACTATGCGGCCCAACAGTTTTTTTTATTGGTATGTATTTTTTCGCATTGGTAATGATTTTTTTTATAGTGGTAATGTTTTTTTCGCTTCGGTATTGTTTTTTCTGTATTGGTATTGATTATATGCAAGGGTATTGTTGTTTTGTGAAATGGTAGTGGTAGTGTTTTTTTCGCATTGGTATTATTTTTCACATTGGTATTGATTATCATGTAATGGTATTGATTTGCATGTATTAGTATTTGTTAAATTTGCAACTTTTTTGTGAAATGATAGTGTTCTTATTTCTCGAATGATATTGGTATTTTGTGCAATGGTAGTGTATTTTAATGGATTGGTATTGATTTATTATTTTATTGTTGCAACGGTATTAGTTTGGCTGAACGAAAACAATGAAAAGATTAAGAAAAAAAGAAAGAGAGATGTGACTGAATATTCCGTAAGTGAGAGAGAGAGAAAATTGTAGTTAATATAATTTTGTAACTCAATAAAATGTAATTTATTAAAAAAATTAATATATTTTTTTTACGTACTCAATTTGCCATTAGTAACCATGGTGATTATTAATCCATAATATTCACTATAACCGCTCCCCCATTCACCCGTAAGTTCGAAGACAAAAACAAAAAAAAGAAGCAAAGCAAAGAACCGTTATATAGGGATGTCAACAAAACCCGAACCCACGGGTACCCTACCCGACCCAACCCGCGTTTTGGTTTAAACTCAACACTATTCACCAGGCTGGATATGGGTTTAGGGGTACCCACCCACACTTATTTTGTCGCTCTACCTCTCCACAAACCTTAACCTAATTCTAATTTCCTCCAATATAACTCTCACTACACTTATTTCGTGTGATTTTATTTAGTGATATGTTTGAATTTTCTAGAATGGTATTTTATGTATGGATAATTTGTATGGGGAAATTGATGTTTGAATTTTATTTTGATAGGAATTTGTTATTGTAAATTTTTTACGACAAAAACTCATGGGTACCAAGAACCCGTGGATACCCAGCGTGTTGGGTTGGGTTTGAGTTTTCCAAACTCAGTGAATTTTACCCAAAAAAAATTTGACAGATAAACACATGGATTTAGATTTGGCAAAACCCGACCCATTGCTATAGTTCCATTATGGCTAGTTCCATTATGGGTGACCTAACTGATTGGATAGGTGACAAACGAAAAATATAAAAAGTACTACTAGCAACAGTAACAATGCTCTCCACTCTCGAGCTCGCCGTATACATGTCAAATTCTAGGTCTTTGTCTTCCATTAACCGCAATCCACAAAAGTAAAACCTCAGCAATTAACATGATTCATGTCGCATTTTCTCATCCTTATTATATGCGGACGTGGCAGTCTTTTATTTTATATTTTTAAAGATATGATCCGTATCTTCATTCTTCACATATATAATACTCATATCATGCGCCAAAAAACACATAGAATAACGTATATGGTCTCTTAATTTGCCGCATGAACCACGGTCATCCATGGTAAAGGACTTGTAATTTAGTGGCGTTGGTGATGGGGTAGGTTAGGTATTTTGAGCTATAGTTCGATTGCCATTTTACTTGAGAAAGGATCATGCAAGAGAAATTTTGTGAAGCTTCATCATAAATTTGCATGCGTACTACATGATTGATGCATGTTGCCACTACTAACGTCGTTCTTGGTTCTGATGAATGGTACTCCTTATGGGTTCTTCTCTCCGTCCAGGGGCCTCAGACAAGGTGACCCTCTCTCTCCGTTGTTGTTCGTCATTTGCACAAAGGGGTTTGCTGCGCTCCTGCGTAAGGTCATCTCGGAGAAAAAGTTGGAAGGAGTCAAGGTGTCACCTCGCGCACCCAGGATTTTCCACTTGTTCTTTGCGGATGATTCTTATCTATTCATGTGTGGCTCTCTCCAGGAATGTGAGAACTTAATTGATGTCCTTAATGATTATGAGGAACTCAGTGGTCAGAGGGTTAACTTAGCTAAATCGGCAGTTTGCTTTAGCAAAAATATTCGTTTACCGGACCAAGAATTCTAGGCTCAGATTCTGGGGGTCGGTGCGGTGGGGGTTCATGAAAATATTTAGGTCTCCCACTCTCCCACGCTTATTGCCCGATCGAAATTGGCTACTTTCCGGTATTTGGAAGCAAAGTTGCTGGAGCGACTGCAGGATTGGAAACAGAGGACTTTGTCCTGGGCTGTTAAGGAAACCCTGATTAAGTCGATTGCGTTAGTGCTACCTTTGCATGTTATGTCTTGTTTCAAGCTTCCCCTGTCTCTATGCCAGCTCCTCGATAAACATGTTGCTCACTTCTGGCGGGGTGCTACTGAGGGTCAACCACGGATTAGGTGGATATCCTGGCGTAATATGTGCAAAAGTAAGCATGATGGGGGGATGAGGTTCCGCCGATTTGAGCATTTCAATCAGTCTTTGTTAGCAAAAATTGGTTGGCGAATTCTTAATGAACCTCATTCCCTTCTGGCTCAAGTGTATAAAGGGAAGTATTTTCCTATTGGAACCTTTCTTAACGCTATAGCTCGTTCTCACCCTTCTTGGGACTGACAAAGTATCTTATACGGTCGACAACGGCTAGATATGGGTTTACGATGGCAAATTGGGAATGAGAATACTGCTTCTCTTCTTCAGTCCAGTTGGGTTCTCGATCTCATCCTTGGCCCCTCGTGCCTAACCCTTGGGTGTTGCCGAAAGGGGGGACCCTAAGGTTGAGGAGGTGATCTGTCATGGCGAAGGGCGCTGGTGTGATGAGAAAGTTAGTCAATGGTTTGAAAATATCGACCTGCGCGGCTATGAAAGTTATTCCCTTGCCTCGACACGATGTGGAGGATCGCCTCATTTGGCATAGCTCAGCTGATGGAACTTTCACAGTTAAATCGACTTATCATCTTGCAGTTTCTCTTGGAAAACAAAGGGGGCGATGGCGGTCTACGGCTAGTTGGATGGATAAAGCCAGTTGGATTCGTCTGTGGGAGGCTAATATTTCTTCCAAATTATAAAAGTCTTCGTGTGGCATATATTCCACTGAATCCTCCCAACTACTGAAGCCCTGCGGGAGAAGGATGTTCCGATGCTCCCTAGGTGCCCGGTTTGCTGGGCTGAGTCTGAAACAATGGAACATTTGTTTTTGTACTGCCCGGTGGCGCGAGCTCTTTGGGATTATTCGGCCCTGGAGTATCTGGGTCAAGGGTTGCCGCGACCTACTTTCCCTCTTTTTCTCAAGAAGCTGGTGTCTTTGTTAAGTCAACCTCCTCTTTTCATGGCAGTTGTTGCCATCCTTTGGAGGATCTGGCGATCTCGAAATTGGGTTGTCTTCGAGGGTAAACAGTTTGGGCTCCTAGCCCTGATGCGTCAATTTCATCAACAGTATGAGGAGTGGGTTCCCCTGCCGGTGGAGCCATCCCCCCGGTCCTCCTTCCCAGTATCCCAGCACCAGAGTCCAGTTGCGGCTGGCTCGACTGTGTGTATGTGGGATGGGGCTACTAAAAGTGGGTCACATTCGGCTGGCGGGATAGTGATCTTGAGTCCGGCTAGGGATGTTCTTTTTGTGAAAGGGACCCAGTTCCTGTGGATTGATGATCTCCTAGTGGTGGAATTACTCATGCTCAGGGAGGCAATTTTGTGGTGCACCAATCATGGCCTAACAGAGATAAGATTTGAAGGTGATGCCAAGGTCGTCATTGATAAAATTAATCATGCAGATTCCAGGGATAACCGGATGGGGGTGGTTCTTGAAGAAGTTATTCATTATTTTGCTGCTCATTTTTGGGTTTTTTGTTAGATTTTCAAACCTGGCTGAACTCCATAATGTAACTGTCTCCTTTTTTCAATCAATATGATTATCTTTTGTAAAAAAAAGGGTTAGCCGTTTTGTTTTACGACCCGAGACGACAAATCGACGAGTACATATCTATTCACTGACTTATCAAAAGATAAGACCGATCATAATTATCATCGATCGATCAACGACTAGCAAATTACAACATTAGAAAGACACAAATCAACTCCATTCAAATACGCTACTTGAATGGAACGCTGAAGAGGTCTGGAACCTGAAAGATTATTTTGGTTTTGCTGGAAGATGGTGGCATTTGGAATAAAGGATCATATTGAGTTATTCACTTTGTAAATGTAAAGTGATGAATTTTCGTACAAGTCTAGCTAGTAGCTGTTTTTGCGTCTTGTTGTTTGTCAACAGTGACCAGTACCTTGTTGACTGTTGTGCGGCTCGATCATGTCATTTAGCTACTAAATACGAATAATCTAGTCTTTAAGTTGTAATTAAACTTGATTAGGAAAGGAGTGCTATCTAATTATAATGAAACCCTAGCAGCTGCAATCAAACCAGCGTAATCAGGGTTTCAGTGGATTTTTGGCCTACGTATCAGGTTTTGTTTTACATGATCTCATATAGGATAGGCCAGGCCTATAGCTGGATCGGTCTTGGTAGGTGTAGATAGAATTAGGTTGAGTGGCTGCCATGGCATCACTCGGCAGTGTCAAGCAGTTATAGTGATCATCTATACAAATTCGTTAGGTCGTGATCATGTTGCTGATTCAGTCCTTTGTGTATATGAATCCCTATATTATGTAATCACAAAATTAACTTGTTCAAATAACTCGAGTTGTTGGGAGATGTCTGTGTACAGTGTATATATGGATTTTAATCACTTCTTTACATGCTTCTTAAAACAAAAGTCAACCGATCATAGGTTTGAACCGAGCTCGAGCTTTCATTTTCATAAACGAGCCGAGATCAAGCTAGCATATTAAAGCTCGTGACGAACACGAGTCGAGCTCGAGTTTGGAAATATATTAACGAGCCGAACCCGAAGTATGACAAATCTCGACTCGACTCGGCTCATTAACAACCCTACTAACAAGTAGGCCGAATCAAACAAAGTATTTGGACATCCGGCCACATATCTAAAGTCGGCATATCATGATTCAAGGCCAACGAAACCCTCTTCGTGGATCGTGGTCCATCAAACATATCAATCGCTGGAACTTTTAATAGACACTTTTGGAGGAATTGCAACCATTTCCGGCCTAGACTTTCTCCCTTCCCTTCACTATCCCGTCCATTCTTTTGTGGGGGTAGTGCTGCATGCGACAGCATTCATTTGCATGAATCCAAGGCCAAAACTGTGCGACACGACCCACCATAGATCCAACGAAAGATGCTTACTACTCATTCTATCAAGATATTCATGTCATACACGGGTGCAATTTCATGTACAACGAAAAAGTGTCGGATGATGTTCAAAAAGATGTCAAATTTGCAGTAGGATTATGTTACGTACTAAGTAAACTAGAAAGAAGGCCGCATTTCATAGCTGTAGAAGTGTAGTGGGTGACAAACTGATTTGGAAGCTCATGATTTCAACTAATGTTTGCACGTTATCTCCATTTTTGAACCAATTGTCTTCTATATTAAACATTTTATGTTAAATAACTTCAAATATAATGAGTTCTTTTATACGGAATACTTATTATGCCAAATAAAAAATCATTAAATTAAGTTTTAGTACAGCGTGTACAAATCTATCACAGATAAGTAAAGAGAGTACACTATCCAAACTCTAGCATAACCCTTCCCCTTCTGTACACAAAGAGGTTCAAAAAATTTAAACCCATCATCATCCTCTTACTACTCTCAAAATTGCCATACTCTTACTACTCTCAAAATCGCCATACTCGAATAAGTGCGGGTAGGTGATTTATCAATTCGCAATTCACCCACATCAATCACCCACCAACTGCAGTTCGAATTATTTGCGGGTGGATTGATGTCAAACTGTGGATTAACCATAGTTGTGACTGCCCCTAGTGGTTATCGCTAATTCATGGAACTAATTGATATTTTATGCATGTGAGGGTGGGTAGTAACTTTGGTAAGGGTTTCGGGGACACCAAGAAAGAAGGAATGCCCAATTTATTGATTGAGATACAAAACATGGGTATCTATGATTTTATAAAATCCAAATTTTATTAAACCTTTATTTTTCAAATTTACAAAGCTAACGACTCATAAATGGGCCCACAATCACGAAGCAAAGCAAATTCCGGTAAGCCCATAATTAAAACAAATCAACCCAAATTTTGAAGTCCAATTGGATAAGAGAATATACAAATACCCTAACATAATAGTTTATTTTAGGGTTATAGGTATAATATGCCCTTCTACTATGACGTTTTATCAAACATGCCCCTCTATTATTTTTTACTTCAAACATGCCCTTGTACTTTGAAAAAATTATCAAACATGCCCTTCTGTTAAAATTTCCATTGATAAAATCGTCAATCATGGTTGAACCGAGATTTAGACGACCCGACATCGGCAAATGGGAGCGAAAATGTCAATTTTGTCTCCCGTTTTATTTCTCTGGGTCTCTTCAAAGTGAAATTATTTGAATTATTTGGCTATACAAAAGAACAAGAAAAAATTCTAAAGTGAAATTATTAGGGATATTTTAGAAATTTGTGCAGCCCAAACCAAAGTTCGACCTTGGTTAATGGTTTTGGGATGAAAATTTAAACAAAAGGGCATGTTTGATCATTTTTACAAAGTACAGGGGCATGTTTGATATAAAAAATAGTATAAGGGCATGTTTGATAAAACGTCATAATAGAGGGACATATTATACCTATAACCCTTTATTTTATGAACCGAGACCTACAGGTTTAAGTTCAATTTTTTTTTATTACTCAGTAACCTCAACCCCACGTGCCACTTTGTGGAAGCAGGTCTATTAAACCTGGGGAGTACCTGCATCAGCAACATTTTCAAGGCCTAGCACCCGATACTGGGGGAGACTTCGTCTCCAACACTCGCGGTGTCTCCCGGAACACCAAGTAGTGTAGCAAGGTTCAAACCTGAGACTTCACACATCTCAAGGCCGAAAGACCACACTCCCGACCAACTCAGCTGTGTTACTTTTGGCCAGGTTTAAGTTCAATTATTATCAAGTTAAAGCTCGAAATGACAAAAAAAAAGCTAAAACTAAAAATGACCACATCCTAATTGCTCTATTAGGCAACAATAACGGGTATTTTCCTTCATATATATTAATATTCCGTTTAATCCATACATGTATGTATGAATGTCGTATTTTATACGCTTAAAACTTTAATTTCTGTATTATTTTGTAACCATTTCATTTTTTGTGCCCATTTGATGGTTTTTTTTTTGTCAAAAGATCTCATATATTGATCAGAACAAAAGATAACTACACCCTGGAAACCAGCCATGTCTGGAAATCAAAGAAGCGACTCATAGTCGGATACAAAGAGAGGGCTTTTCTAGCTACCAAATGAGCTACCCTATTGTTCTTCCGACCTACAAAACGCACACTAAAGCCAGGCTGAGCATGAAAATAATGAACAATCTCGTCCATACCAGCACCCAACCGGCTATCTCTTGTGTCCGCCCGATTAATTTTATCAATTAACACCTGCGCATCTCCGTCGAATCGGACCTCCGACAAACCTTGATCCATACACCAAATAACAGCCTCCCTAAGCATAAGCATTTCCACGACTGCAGGATCATCCATTTGAGCAAACTGGACCCCTCTAGCCAGAAGGAGTGTCCGAGTTGAGTCAAACAGAACCATCCCTCCAGCCGAATGAGACCCACCCTTAGTAGCCCCATCCCAAATACAAACATACTGGGACTCACCCAACTGTGTTGTAGATTGCATTGCCGGTGTCCGAGCCCTAGGCGCTCATTCTGCTGGGAGACCCACCCATTCCTCGTATTGCTGATGAAACTGGCGCATGAGGGCTGGAAACCCAAATTGTTTACCTTCAAATACCACCCAATTACGAGATCGCCAGATTCTCCAAAGGATTGCAACAACCGCCATAACCACAGACGGCTGCTGGATCAAGCCCAACAAGCGTTTGAGAAACAAAGGAAAAGTATGCCGAGGCAAACTCTCTCCCAAGTATTCCAACCCAGAATAATCCCAGAGAGCTCGTGCCACTGGACAATAAAGAAACAAGTGTTCCATTGTCTCCAGGCCATCCCAACAAACTGGACATCGAGGCAGAACCTGGACCTTTTTCTCAAAAAGCGCCTCCATAGTTGGCAGAGCCCGATTAAGGATCTGCCAAACAAACACCTTCAACTTTGGAGGGATCTTAGCCTCCCAAACCCTGATCCAACTCGGCTTATCCATCCAGCTAACTGAGGACCGCCACCCCTCTCCTCCTGTCCAAATCGACAGCCAAATGATAAGCCGTCTTAACCGAAAATACCCCATCAGCCGTAAAATGCCAAATGAGTTTATCAGGTACATCCCAACGCGGGAGGGTAATAGCCTTTATAACCTTGCAGGTAGGTGGGTCAAACCATTGGCTGAGCATGTCATCAGACCACCCCCCCTCCCCCCTCGCTCATTATCTCCGCCACCAAGGGATCGCCCCCCTCCGGCAGGATCCGGAGATTATAGGCTGGGGGATCTAACTGATACCTAGGAATCCAATTAGAATGCAGAAGGGAGACCGAGCGACCATTGCCCACCTGCCATCTCAAACCTCTTTCCAATAACTGCCGCCCATGCAGGATACTTTGCCACCCCCAAGAGGGTCGAGATCGAGCAGTTGCAGTTAGGAAAGACCCTTGAGGGAAATACTTGCCTTTATACACCTGAGCAATAAGGAATTGAGGTTCATTAAGGATACGCCAGCCTATCTTAGCCAAAAGAGCTTGATTGAAATGTTCGAACTGGCAAAATCCCATCCCCCCTTCATGCTTACTCCTGCACATGTTACGCCAGGACACCCATCTAATCTTGGGATTCCCATCCTCCGCACCCCACCAAAAACGGGCCACATGTTTATCTAACAGGCGACACAGAGTCAGGGGAAGCCAGAAACATGACATAACATGTAGAGGAAGAGCCAACGCTATAGATTTGATTAACGTTTCCTTAGCAGCCCATGACAATGTCCGTTGCTTCCACCCTTGAAGCCGCTCTAGGAGCTTTTCTTCCAAATATCTGAAAGTAGCTGTTTTGGATCGGGCAACCAGCGTTGGAAGCCCCAGATACTTATCATGGACCCCCACTGCACCAACCCCTAGAATCGTGGCCAAGAATTCCTGATCTGGCGCGGAAATATTCTTGCTAAAGCACACCGCCGATTTGTCCAAATTAACGCGTTGACCACTTAGCTCCTCATATTCATTCAACACCTCTATTAAGTTCTCGCACTCCTGCAGCGAACCGCGCAAGAATAAATAAGAATCATCCGCGAAGAACAGGTGCGAGATTCTTGGAGCCCGAGGAGCTACTTTCACACCCTTTAACTTTTTCTCTGTGATCGCCTGTCGGAGGAGAGCTGCAAACCCCTCCGTGCAGAGCACAAACAAGAGTGGGGAGAGTGGATCCCCCTGGCGAAGACCCCTAGAGGCAGTGAAATATCCCGAAGGTGTACCATTCATTAGAACCGAGAAAGAGGAGGACCGAAGACATTCCTGAATCCATCCTCGCCAGACCGCATTAAAACCCATTTTCTCCAAAACCGCAAGCAAGAAAGGCCATTCGACTCTATCATAGGCCTTTTCCATGTCAACCTTCAGAGCCATGTACCCCTTCTTCCCTTGCGTTTTGATTTTCAGGTAATGCATTAATTCATGTCCTATAAGGATATTATCAATGATCTGTCTATCCCTTATGAAGCCATTTTGGCCCTCCGATACAATCTCCGGGAGCATGCTAGCCAGCCGTTCAGCCATGATTTTGGTAATCACTTTGTAAACAAACTGGCAGAGGCTAATCGGCCGCAACTGTCGGATTGTTTCCACCGAATCCACTTTAGGGATCAAAGTGAGCCATGTATGATTAAAACTCCGCAACATCCTACTCGAGGTAAAGAAGGAGATTACTGCTTCAACCACCGAATCACCCACAATAACCCAGAAAGCTTTGAAGAATTTCCCGGTGAAACCATCCGACCCCGGAGCCTGTTTTGATCCCATCGCAAAGACCGTTTGCCTAACCTCACCTGGCAAAACTTCCGCCGTCAACCGCACATTCATTTGCGGCGTAACACTATGGGAAATCGGCAGGCTCGCCACCCTCTCGGCCATGTTGGGTACCTGAGTTTCTGAAGTAAACAGGGTCTGGTAAAAATTTGTGGCAATAGAAGCCTTCCCAGTCTCCTCAGTGACCCAATCCCCTTCCTCATTTCGAAGCCCAGAAACAAAGTTTCTCTTCCGCCGAGCCCTTGTGACTGTATGGAAGTAGGCAGAATTCTGATCTCCTTTCTTTAACCATTTTACCCTTGATTTCTGTTGCCAGAACACCTCTTCTGCTTCCCACTGGCGCGATAGTTCCATCTCCAGCCTCTTGATCTCATCCCAATCCACCGGGTGGATCAATTTCATCCTATCAATCTCGGCCTGAAGAGTCTTAATATTGTGCAGGGAATTAGTCGTGCCCGCTCTACTCCAATCATACAGCAAATGACGGAGTTTCTTTAGGCGTTCCCAAAGCCGAAACATAGGGGTGCCCTGGACCTCCTCCTGCCAGACATAATTGACCATGGCCCTGACCTCCGGATTATCCGCCCATCGGGCATCAAAACGAAATAGCGGCCGACTAGTACGAACAAATGGCTTATCCGCAAGGAGAAGAGCACGATGATCGGACCCCTGATCCGTGAAATGTTTGACTAGAGTCTCCGGGTATTTATCCAACCAAGACTGAGAGCATATCGCTCTATCCAGTCGAGCGTTTTGATTTTCAGGTAATGCATTAATTCATGTCCTATAAAGATATTATCAATGATCTGTCACCTACTTTAACACGCATAAAATCCATAGTTTATTAACTAAAGCTTTGAAGAGCACATATTCTCTTTATCTTCTAACTAATTTGAGTATATGGCGTGCTTTGATTATATTTCTCGTTTTTTTTTTTTTTTTTTTTTTTTTTGCCGACGGAAATTCAATTGAAGATATCTTTTCTTCTCTATGAACATGATAAGATACTGTTGGTCTGAACCAACCAAATTACAGTGTAGGGATAGCAAAGTAGTAGCAGTGCAACTCAATGATAGTGTAGGCGATGGATTTGGACCTATGAGTACCTGATCGATCCTTGCAAAATAGCGTTGGGGTTGTTTGGATGAGTTATTCGCATGAGTTATGAGTTATTTGAGTGCAAATAACTCGTTTGTTTACAAAAATTGGTGATGAATTATTTGTACTTGAGTTAATTTAAAATAACTCATTAATGAGTTATTGTCAATACCCAATAGAGGTAGTCATTGTGAAATAATTCACAAATATCACATTCTTATTTTGTTTAGAAATTTCACTATTATATTAACTCATTACACAACAACTTATCCAAGCGATTCCCAATTGGTAAATTTGGCCTTTGAAATGGACACCAAAAGAGCCAATGAGATTGAGGGTTTTGATGATGATAGGCTGATAAGATGGATGGGTTGCTACAGGTCGCAAAAATCCATTCGCCAGCCAAACTTGCTCCATTTATATGATAAAATTATGTCTTGCATATGTCAATTTCTTTTTATGAGAGAAATGTCTTGTGAGCCTATATGTTCCGATTAGACGGGAGAGTTTGCCAAAACCATCTAGTTCGATTGCAACTGAGATATAATTGGATTGGTAATCTTCCAAAACCTTCTAGTTTGATTGTAACTCCGAAATTGGTTAATCGATAGTATGTGATTTACATTTCGGATTATTTCTACGATTTTAGATAGTAAGACAGAATTACTTTTTTTTTTGTAACCCGTCAATGTAGAATTTTGGGCACCACAAGCCCACAACAGACAGACATAAGCCAATGGGATTGTGGATGTGTGCTTTCCAACAAATTGAATGATTAAAATCATAAAAGAAAAAATTAACCAAGGGATGGAAAAATCAGGTCACTGTCTCCCTCAATCAAAATCTTTAGAAGATTAAAATAATAATTACCAATCATGTATAGTTTTATTTTTCATAATAAAAATAATAAGGAGAGAAAAAGAAAAATATTTGGCTCAGGTGAGTCTAGATGGTAGGGGTAGATTTTTCCTGCAAAATTTGGTCACGATGTTGATGTTTGTGGAGCCAGAAAAAAATTAAAGTTAAAAAAATTTGGTGGAATCCTACATGTAGTTGATGAGGACATTAATCTCATATTACAAATACCAAAGGTAAGATAGTCTAACGACAAAGTTGCCGCTACAGTGAAGGATTGGGAGGTAATGTTATGTGTACCAATAAATAGATGATCTTCTTTGTACTAATGAATTTATGAATAAGAAAACTCTATTCCCATCTTTTCTTCTGTCTTTCTCTCCCCATGCTATTTTATAGTTATTTGTCTTCTTCCTTAGTTTTTAACAAAAATCAAATTATATAAGATTATCATCGTGGTAAAATTCTCTATGTCAAATATGCTTAGGGGTCGTTTGGAGAACATGATTTGTGGCATGGATTCACTAAATCCGTAGATTTTGTAGAAATTTGTGTTTTTTGTTATTTTTTGTACAATAGATTTTAACTTTAGAGATTTCAAATCTGAAAAATCTACGAATATAAAATCTCTCATAATCAGAGAGATTATATATCTTGATTCGTGAGATTTTTTTTCTTTCTTTTATTTGTTTATCAAATTAAATATATTTATCAACAAAGTTTTCCAATACTTTTCGAACCACTTTAAATTTTTATTAAGGATAAACATATTATTTAATATAAAATTTTTATTTTTATTTTTATTAGATGTTAACAATCACAATTCCCAAACAATATATATTTTAAAATATGTTTTCAGCAATTCAAAGAGTTAAAATCTTTAGATTGTTGACAATCTATAGATTTAAACTCATATTCTCCAAACGACCCATATTTGACAATCTATAGATTTAAACTCATATTCTCCAAACGACCCATATATATTATGGCATGATGTCACATATCTATCTCATAGGGGTGGCAATACAGTCCGGTCCGGTTAAATTGGACCAAATTGATCCGGTCCCAGTCCGGTCTTTTTGGGAATATAAGGACCAAAGATTGGATTGGATACACTTCGGTCTTGATCCGGTCCGGTCTTGACCCGGTGAGGTCCCAATTTGATTTTGATTTTAAATTGAGCTTGTGGGTATTTGAGTGTTGGGTTCTCTTATCAGGTCTTTATCCGGATTTTTTACCTCAAATCTAAGCCCGAATATGAGATTGGATTGTTTGCTGTCCGGTCCCAGTCCAAGTTATACGGTCCGATTTCGGGTAAAATCAAACAGTCCTGGACCAGATTGCCAGCCCTACTATCTCATTAGGACCGGGATGTGACCTATGGATTGGGCTTCATAGCACCACACCCAAACAGGAAAACAAGAGGGGAAAAGACCAAAATGGTCAGCTGGAAATGCATGCTTATGTAAGCCATCTCACTATCCATCTTTTACATTACATCGGCCCAAAAGGTCATTAAGAAAGTAACGGTTTCATATAGGCAGATGAGAGCAGAAGAGGAATACCGGAAGCATCATATACGCACAATTGCGTTTCATAATCAGACTCAAATTACCACTAAAGTTTAAAAAAAGAATGATTAACTAATAATCAAAAGGTCATCACCCACACCAAAATTTGTTTCTTTCCTTGTGACAAGTTTTCACCCACCCCTCCATTTATCTTCCTGTAAAAAGAAAGAGCCATTTTCAATTTGGGAAGTGGGAGGGAATTAGGCAACCATTTTGGTCGCTAATGGTCAATGGACACCCGCATTGCTCTCTAATTAGAAAGCAATCACAATCAAAGTCGAAGTTAGCTGTACTAATCTTTTTTTATGATTCAGGTAATTTTATCTTTTTGTTTAAATAAAGTGATACGTACATAGTTTCTAAAATAAGTTACTTATATGCACCAGTTTTGTAGCTAATTACAGCTGGGAATGGAAAGGAACTTGAGGAAGGTCGTGCTGTGCATAACAGTTGTCTACCTTGTTGGATAGTTTAAGTTAAAGTTGTTTAGGACAACCATTTGATTCCATCATTAGTAAATTTCTTCTTTCTAAGTAACTACATTTGCTTTTCGAGAAATTTACAGTAAGTTATTTTTTCTGTTAAGGTTCGTTAAACCAATTGTTAACATCACGAGATAAGTTAGGGTTTTAGAGAAGAACTATCCAATCGTCGACAACTCGAATATTGTGTCGAGAATGAATATATCTGATCCATGGAATCTTATACCAACCATGTACCACACTATTGCACTGCATACTGATCTGGGCTTCAAACATAGAAGAAAGGCCAAATTTATCGTGAAAAAATGGGGGACAAGCAATGCAAATTGCGAAACAAGACCTCAGAAATAGCTGTTCTTGCTACTAGGGTTTTGAAGGGGAAGGGCATCTTTCAATTTTGTACGTGGTCGGTGAGATGTGTGGACTCTTTGATCATATCACCAAATTTACGGGTCGTTTGGATGCATCATTTTGTTTCTATGGTATTTCGAATCCAAATGATGCATTATTTTGCTATGTGGTATTTCATTTTGAAATGTGGCAATTGTTGTAATTGTCTTGTTTGGATAAAACATTCAAATATTGTGGTATTTCACCACTTAAAGAAGGGATGAAGTGGAAAAAGAAGTTGGGAGATGAGGTATTTGAAATAACTAGGGGGTGGGTAGGTATTTCAAATAACCCACAATGAGTTATTTCAATTGACTCATGGACAAAATACCACATTCTATTTTATTTTTGCCAAACGAGTTATTTTGATTGAAATACCTCATTCTGAGTTATTTCGACCAAATTATCTCATCAAAATACTGCATCCAAACGACCCGTATTGAAATTTAAAAGCATGCATGTAGTCCCTCCAAGAGATTGAAAGAAATTTTGGAAGCATGCTCTAATATAATGTATTCAAATCAACCGCTAACTTTCAAGTTGCGTGATTCGTATTAGACTGGAAAACAAATTCTATTCATTCTCTTCGCATAATCGATCTCACAACTCTCATAGATTCAGAAATCATATCATTTATTCATTCCATTTACACCACTACTCATCTCTCATGCATGGATTCAAAAGTCAGATCTTCCAATTTTATCATTATATCCCATCAGTCTCACGTTGTGAGATGTAACTATATATAAACTTGACATGACTATACACTTGTGTAACTTCTTGTTTGAGAAAACATTCATTTGAGTAACTGTAAGTTAAATATAGTCATTGAATCATCATGACTACGATATACTCGAATTTGGGGGAAAACGATTCATTCTGATCATAATTAGAATTAAAGTAAGAAGGTAAAGGAATATAAATCATATTATCTTACAAGTGTACTTATCATAATCCTGGATAAGCACAGTTTGAACCTCCAATGCATGCCTTCAAGTTGGGATTGATCAGGTCAATAAAAGCAGCAGTGAGGGGATGATCATAAGCAGCCATGCATTGCACTTGAATGAGATGGTGATAAGTAGATATTTGGAGCTTAGGAAAAGTTGGTCGCAACATGCAGCCAAAACTAGGGCAGACAAGTAGATATTTTTTTTTTATTCTTCTTGGAGTTACAGCTAGCTTCTGTGTGTTCTTGTAGTCCACTGTAAACAGAAGTCAAATTTATTGAGGAAAAATGGGTCAGAGAAAGAAACTCTTGGAAGAGAAGACCAATTTGAACTTTAATTAACACAGAAAGATGTTTATTAATTAATTAGTTTTTCCCTCGTGCTGTTTACAGTTAACACTCCTCAATTCCCACTTGCAATGACACTAGTGTTAATTGTGCAAGTTCCTTTACTTTCTCCGTTGACCATATAGTTAGTAGATATCAGAACGAATCTGACCTAATCGTGTATGGTAAAACTCGAGAACGAAAGATTATTAATAGTACAGATAAAATTCAAACACGAATATTGCGGGTAATAGGTGAGGGTGAGTATGATTTTGTCACTATCCAATCCGAACCAGCCCGATTATACAATGCCCATGCATATGTATTCTATCTGCAATGATCATTATTTTCTCAATGTATTTGATACTTATCATGGATATATAATATTTTCGTGAAATTGTATTATTTTTAACTATTTTTCCATTCTAGTAATTTATTATTGTATATTTTCATTTATGTAATGTCAGTATAAGTATAATTATTAACATATTGGTTGAAGTTATAAAGATAAATTATATATCTGGATAACCTTAAATTCTCGAAATCCGATCGTGTGAGTATGATTTTGATATTCTACCTGATTCTTATAAAGGTATGATTAAAACTCAAATTGCTTAATGTAGGATAATGGATATACATTATATACTATACACCTCGTCCCAACCAATTGTCATCCCTTTCCACATCATGCACCCAATCCTTCAATTAGTGTCTGGGAGTTGCTCGACGGATTCATCGTTCTATCGATTGATCATTAAATTAAATGTTCAAATTTTGCTCATAGATATATTAATGACTTCATACTATTAATTGTAAATCGCCTTGTATGATCATCTGTGACCATAAATTGATTAAGATGATCAACGGCGAGTATGATATGATATTTAAAAACAATCGAAAAACAACTTGCTGTATAGAATACACGCTTTTGCAGCAGATTTTAAAGGGAAAGTGATCACTATCATTGATGTCTAACTCAAGACAAAGATGGTGTTCTTTGGGATCTTTAACAACAAAGGTTTTCAAAGTTACACCGTCCGCATTGAGAAAAAAGAGTCAAATTACTAGGCTGGAAATGATTGATGTTTTCGATTATGTTTAATGCTTCTTGTACGTGATAAACTCCATTGACATGATTTAAAGATCTTAGGAAATATTCATGACTCTATTCTTGATCATCATCCTAGCTAATGTTTATCTCAAAAGTAAAACCCCCTCTTTTCTTCGAGTTTATAGTATTACAAAAAGGAAAAAAAATTATCCTCGAAAAAGTGTTCAAGAGATTCATGAGATGAATTACGTTATTTATTATGCGGGTATCCTTATATTTTTCACAAAATTTTCAAACCAGTATCGGGGAGAGCATCATCGTAGCCAAATTCATCAAATCCAAGCACACTTACAAACCTCATGACTCAATATAGCTAGTTGGTCATCACAACTACAAATTATCCCTTGTGTTTTATGTTCGATTTTCTAATATTAACTTGTTACGCAGTTTGATTATTTAGTCCAATTCACAAACTTGTTAATTAGGTATTACACATAAAAAACTGTTGTATTTTACACTTACCCTAACCATCGAGCTAGACATTGATGAATTATGAGAGTGAAACTATAGATGTTGTGAAAGTGACCATTGCAAAGTGACCAATTATTAATTTTATAAAGCACAAAAAGGGGGTGAATTTTTTGCAAATTGGGGGAAAGAAAGGAGGGGCCAGGTGGGTTTTATAGCCACCACATAACTCACAATTATGGCAACTCCAAGTTGATGGTGTGTACATTGTTGTCCAAGTATATATAATCTCCTAAAAAAATTAAAAACAATTGTTTGTATAAAAAATAATTATAATAAAATATGAAAGAAATTAGTAAAGCCCACCATGCACTCAACACTGACTGCTCATCAGCAGCTGTTTAGCAAATTCAATTGTGAAGGAGACACCAAGCTTCCTCTCCATCCCCTTTTTCTTGGATTAAGGAAGACCACTTTCCAAACAAGCAAACAATAAGCCCTAGGGGGAAGAAAACAGAGAACAAGAAAACCAAATCTATGAACAAGTCTATCCCTCTACTAAACAAGTGGAAATGTTGTAAGGTTGGTGTGGTAATTAGTAGAGTGTGAAATGATGATATATACGGTCTGTAAATTTGATTAAAGAGTTACCAGTTTAATGTTATATCGAGTTAATCATTGAAAAAAAATTATATATTGACCGATGGTAGGTGTATATATATGTCTTATGTCTATTTTAATAATTGAGTTGAGGTGATTTCTCTTGTTAGCTAGGGAACAGTTTTTGACGTACATGTAGAGTAATTAGACAATAGATGTTCTCTTTCTTCAGCGCACACACATAAATCACATCATTCGTTGGATATATAAACCTCATGTACTCATTATAACAACCGAATTGTGATTAGTATTTTGTAACGAAAATCGAGGATAGACTCTCATGTCCACCGTGTCGAACGACTTTAAAAGCTTGTCGCAGTCTTTCATCTGGCCGTTGATATCCTCCATCCTACCTGTGTAGAGGAAATGAGTCTCTCTACCTTCCAACCGTGCTCTTAGCTTCCTTCGATGTTCTATTAAAATAAAATTACATGGGTTAATTTGTATTACGATTTGTGACAGGTTTATAACACTATTTCACCCCATAACTTTTTTTTTTTTACGGTGGTTGGGTAAAAAGGAGATGATGTAGTAGCTACAGTTACAGGAGCAAGACACATGGATTATATGGGCCGTCAAAATCAGCAACAAAAAAAAAAAACACACTCTCTCTCTCTCCCTCTTCTTTAGCTACCAGCCAGGCGCCAGCAGCTCCACCAAGCAAAATAAGGAGGCCAAAGAAAACGTCTATAAATACCAACCAAATGTGCCCATTTATCTCTTCAACTCACAACAATCCCCAACTCCCATTTTTCACACACACAACTTCTCTTTCTCTTGTGTGTGCATTTGATATAGCCAGGGAATTGGGGGGGATTCTTCACTTCTCCATAAAAGGGTTCAAGATCCCAAATCCACACTCTAGATTCTCTCTTACAGAATCCTCTCATCCCAAACCTAACTGTCTCTAGCTAGCTAGGTTGGGCAGCAACAGAGGTGGTGCTGATCATCATCAATTGATCCTCACCTAATTAGAAAATGGCCAATTGTATGAGGGAGCTTTGTACTATTAATCGCGAGGTTCGTCGTCGTTTCTTCTTCGGCCTCTGCTGATTCCCTTCTCTGATGTCTGATCTTATGTTATATGTTCTCGTCGTCGTTGATCATAATGATCGAAAAGTTAAACATGGTTACTTTGAAATTCTTTTTAAGTCGGTCGATATCATCGAGAAAAATAAAATATATTTACGTGTCGCGTGAAATGTGCAGGGAAAGAAAGTGAATGATGTGGAAGATCACGGGGAGGAGTTTGGTGGAGATTATGGGGATGAGATGAGTGCAGCTGGTACTATTACGATGGACGGGACAGTGGATTGGAAAGGCCGGCCGGCGATCAAATCCAAATCGGGGCAGTGGACTGCCGGAATCATCATCCTTCGTATGTTTTCTCTACCTCTAAATAATAATATTCATCTTGCAAAAAAGAAATTATATTCCCTTTTTTCTTGGCGTTTTCTATTAAAAAAAATCTTTTTTTTTTTTTTTGCCCTGGTTTTGTGGGGTGTCGACAAACAAACACAAAGAGTGAGGTGATAAGAGGAGCTACTTTTCTTCTCTTGTTTTTTTTTTCTTTATATTTTTTCCAGTTTTTTTAAATTAATTTCGGGTAAATAATTTTGACTATACGCACATTTTGAGGGAGTTTGTTAGTGCTGAATAACGACAGCAGTTTTTTTATTAATTACTGGGTAAAATCTGTTGAACAATCAGTAACTAATTGTTCACATGCACGCTAATTACCTCAACCATCTTTATTTAAATAAATATTTAAAATAAAAACCCTATTATTATATTATAAGCTGCATGCATGGCTGGATTCCATATTCACAGCATGCAGAAATGTCGGGCGCCGCCGGTGGCATCCAACTGATCTGCTCGAAATTAGGATGGGAAATCTAAAGGTCGTTTTTCTCAATTCTGGCCGGAAATTTGGCCGGAAGGTTAGTGATCAGATAGGTGTTGGTGACACGTAACGGAGGAAAAGAGTAAATTGAATGTTCACTATTTTAGTATTTTTGCCCCCTCCTTCCACGTGGTATTTCTAGCAAAATTTTCCAATTATTGGAAACCACATGGTACACACCACTATCACAAACAACATAAAAACGAAAAACATCTTCCCACCTCTCTCCACCACGCGTTCTGTTAAGAGTTTGTATTTTTCTTTGTGTTTATGAAATTGTATCGTATCAACTTGTGATACTAGTCGAAGAATTGCGTACAGAACTAAGTTGAGTACGTTTTTAAACTGATTCTTTCGATCTTTTATGGGAATTTGCATTGGTTTGCACTACAAACACCAAATTCTAAGTAAGTGCACTCAAGATTGTTTTTTTAGGCCCACAAATCAATTTCGACCAAACTAACTTTATGGATGAAAAGAGGCAAATTAGTCACCCAATCTAGCAATTCCCATCATCCTCTCTCTCTCTTAACATTCCTTGGTGTGTATCGTTTGTTTCTGATTGTGGGGTTGCGTGAGTTTCTTTGGTTCCTTAGTTAATGGCCTTTGAGAAATAGATAGATGGATGCATAAACAAGACAAGCTAGGCTAGGGCTTGGCTTGGATGGAAGTTGCCATAAAGATACAAGTGTGTAGGCACCACATGACTTGGGAAAGCTTGTCTTAAATGATGCCCTTGTGTTGGTGGTCATGAATAGGTCTCCTCTCCCCCTCAAATTCTTCAATCATTGTTGCTCTCACTTTCCCAACTTTTGCCAAAACCAAAATTGAATTGGAACTTTCTCTCGAACTGAAAAAAATATCGATCTGGTTAAAAATGAAACATTAGCTAGAATTGCATGTTCTTGTAACTTAATGTGTATGTCTATCTTTGGACGTTACGTTTTATTGAAGCTCAAATATCGTTGGAATAGTAAGATTTGAGAACCAACTGTTAATTGACATTTTTCACTTTGTTGAGGGACGAATGTTTCGAATTAACTCACTGAATCGATTCTTACTGGAACCTGAATTTTTTTTTCTAGATATTTACATCATTGACGTGTAAGAAAAATTAAACAAGTTAGGATTCAAGTTCTCGTGACTTTCCGTTTTATCTCCTCTCGGACCAATTTTCAATGTGATGTGAGCTGTGGTGAATTCCTTTTCTAATGTGGAAAGTGATTACTTTGTGTTTATGCAGTGAACCAAGGGCTGGCTACCTTGGCATTCTTTGGAGTTGGAGTGAACCTGGTGCTATTTCTTACCAGAGTTCTGCAACAGGACAACGCTGAAGCTGCCAACAATGTCAGCAAATGGACTGGAACCGTGTACATATTCTCCCTTGTTGGTGCTTTCCTCAGTGACTCCTACTGGGGAAGATACAAGACTTGTGCCATTTTTCAAGGCATCTTTGTCATGGTAAAATCCTTAACTAAAACGTCAGTTTTCAAACAATTTGATCATTTGATTGTGCAAAAATCTCAATAGTTCTGTGTTTCTACAAACAGGGTTTGGTGTTACTGTCACTGTCATCATACCTCTTCTTGCTCCGCCCAAAAGGCTGTGGGGATGCCATAACCCCATGCGGAGTACACACCAACATGGAAGTAGGACTCTTCTACCTCTCCATCTACCTCATTGCCCTAGGAAATGGAGGATACCAGCCCAACATCGCGACGTTTGGGGCAGATCAGTTCGACGAGGAAGACCCCATCGAAGGGCACTCGAAAGTCGCCTTCTTTAGCTACTTCTACTTGGCCTTGAACTTGGGCTCCCTCTTCTCCAACACCATCTTGGGCTACTTCGAGGACGAAGGCGTGTGGGCGATCGGATTCTGGGCGTCTGCTGGCTCTGCCTTCGCTGCTCTGGTCCTGTTCCTCGCGGGTTCGAGCAGGTACCGCCATTTCAAGCCCACGGGGAACCCATTGGCGCGGTTCTGTCAGGTGCTTGTGGCGTCCATAAAGAAGTGCAAGTTTGCATTGGGAGGAGATGGCGATGGCTTGTATGATGTTGATGCCAAAGACGGCTCTGGCAGTGGGAATGGGAGGAAGATCCTGCACACTCATGGATTCAAGTAAGCATAATGCTCGTTTGGGATCGTCATAATCTCGATTCCAAGTCTCGTAATCTTACGGTTCTAGTGGTGTTTTTTTTTTCCTCCTCTCATCAGGTTTCTGGACAGAGCAGCTTACATTTCATCAAGAGATATAGATGATCAGAAGAGAGGTTACCGTAACCCGTGGAGGCTGTGCCCTGTATCACAAGTAGAGGAAGTGAAATGCATACTGAGACTCCTCCCCATCTGGCTCTGCACCATCATCTACTCCGTCGTCTTCACGCAGATGGCCTCCCTGTTCGTCGAGCAAGGCGCTGCAATGAACACAACCATAGCCAACTTCAAGATCCCGCCAGCCAGCATGTCGAGCTTCGACATCCTCAGCGTCGCCCTCTTCATCTTCCTGTACAGACGAGTACTGGACCCTTTGGTCGCGAGGATCAGGGGAACGAGTGCCAAGGGGCTTACCGAGCTGCAGAGGATGGGGATCGGGCTCGTGATCGCTGTAGTAGCGATGGTCTGTGCAGGGACCGTGGAGTGCTACAGGCTCAAATATGCACAGAAGGATTGCCTGCGTTGTGAAGGGTCGAGCTCCTTGAGCATAATGTGGCAGATACCGCAGTATGCACTGATAGGAGCCTCCGAGGTTTTCATGTACGTCGGGCAGTTGGAGTTCTTCAACGCTCAGGCCCCCGACGGGCTCAAGAGCTTTGGCAGCGCGCTGTGCATGACCTCGATCTCGCTTGGGAACTACGTGAGCAGCCTGCTGGTGACGATGGTGATGAAGATCTCGACCGTGGACCACATGCCAGGGTGGATCCCGGGGAATCTGAACATAGGTCACCTTGACAGGTTCTACTTCCTGCTGGCCGCCCTGACATCCCTCGACCTGTTTGTGTACATTGCTTGTGCCAAGTGGTACAAGAACATCAAGCTTGAAGGGAAGAATAACAGCAACTCGGAGGAAGAAGAAGATGATGATGATTATAGTGATGATAGCCACAAGTGTGAAGTCTAAGTTATGTAACTTGGTCTGTGTTAACAAGTTGAAGCATCGTAGCAAGCAGTATAGATGAATAAACTGAGTGGAATGGGTTTCTTTAGCTTCTGCAGAAAGAGGGGAATGTGTGCTGATCTGATCTAAGCTAGGGATTGGGAAACGAGGAAGGTTTTTAATGAGAGTGGCTGTAACTTTTGTCAGCAACCCTCATTCTAGATCTAGGCCTAGAAATCAAGTGTATGATTATCAGCAAGTTCAATGTTCAGAGAATGAATTGGCTTCCATCCTACACAGTACTGTCTTCTTCAAGCGCTGCTGTAACTGCAGATACTCAAAGCTACTTTTCGACAAACATGAACACCGATAAAAGCATGTAAACTTCAAGTAGACAAGTAAGAATAATCGACCTTCGTACTTCATTGATATAAAAAGATGATGAAATGACCAGACTTAAAGTTGTCTCTGTTAAACAATGCCAGCAGCAGCGAAGAGAGCAAGCAAGAACATGGGGACTAAACAGGAACACAGAGCCATCAGGCAGAAGCCGGTGCAAAAACTTCTGGCTGACGCGGTTTTATTCGTCCAAGTGAAGAGGATTTTACAACAAACAATCATCACACGAGAAAAAAAAATCCACTAAGATCTTCGGCTGTTCATGCAATGAAAATTTTAATGCATGTATTGATAAACAAATGCTTCATATAACGTGCAGCTAGTTCACAACAACCCTACTTAAGTTAAGAAAACAAAGAAAGCTCCATACGGTCCTTAAAAATCAACTCTGAACCTCTCGAACTTGGATGTGGTGGGTTGACTCCTCACGCCAAATCGGTTGAGCTCCGCTCTGGACGAGAGTAACGTGCTGCCCTTCCACCAACAGACCCTTGTCCTGTAACATGGCGAACATCGGATTAAGGTTTTGTGGAAAAGATGTGGTAACGAAGAGAGGACAAGATGATTAGGAGGAATGTTCACTAACCATTAGGAGCCTATGTGCTCGGGAGAAGGTCTCATCTGCATCATTCGAGAACTCCATATAAATTGGCATAACCCCCTGGTAAAGTACCAGTCTCTGCTTTATCCTTTCGCTGCAAAAAGAGCAAGAACATAGATCATTAGAAGTGGAGGCAGAGAATGAAAATGTGACAGGCATCTAACACGGAATAGGACTTACTCATTGGTGAAGGCGAAAATTGTCGAGGAAGGACGGTAATGACTCAACTGCACTGCCATGGAACCAGTTCTCGTGAAAACGATGATTGGTGTATTGAGAGTGTTCGCCATGATGGTAGCATGAAAAGCAAACATATCACCCATATGGCTCTGCAGAACATAATACCCAGCAAAAAGGGATCAGGTTGCAAGACACTAAAAGGATCACAATTTCAACTGTTGCGGAACAATGAACATGGTATCAGAACCTTCACATAGCATTAATCGTTCATAGGAACTCGGAGTTTTCATTCAGGAAAAAACAAGGGAAACAAGTGTTCTGAGTCTAGCTAGAAGCTACCTTGTGTGCTCCAGTCGGAGGAGCTGTGTTTGCTGGCAAACTTGCCTCTGTCCTCAATGCCACGGTATGCATTACTTTAACAGCCTTCAATGGGTATCTTTAGAAAGATAGGTCAACCGTCAGTTCAAGGTGAAAAGATTACAAAAGCTAGCTTACAGTTGAAACAAAATTTACACAGAAAGAGGAATACTGAATTGAAGAGTGATTGTGCATGTATACACAAGTTCAATGTCAAGAATAAATCAAAATAGATGTTTTCAGCCCCGTTACCACTAGGCCGACATTTGTTGCCGACATTTGTTGGGTTTAGAAAGCGAGAACTTGGAACTTTAAATGATGCATTAGTATATCAGCTCCAACCCATGAAATCCAAAAGATAATGAAGTGAGGTATGCCGAACTGAAAAAAAAAATAACCTAAGGATCTATTCCTAGAACAAAGATCCCAAACCATTGCTGATCCTAACCAATGATCATTCTGACGAGGCCAGCTCGCCTAGCTACAAAAACTGGATGTATTTCAATAAAGGGGGATTCGAAGCATGACTTCAAGTAGATAACAGGCATTGAGACTGACTGGTTCAATGGAAGGCATGTGTCAAGATAAGGTCCTCCAGAACAGAACATAATCACACCGTTAAATTACCCTTGTATTCAAGTTTCTTTTGGTAACATGGATATGGCTGAATAAAGAAAATACATTGTAAGCAACATCAACCTACTTTTAACTATACTGCTGATACCCGAAAGAAATTTCTAACTTATACCAGTTTATGAGGGAAGTGCAACCTGTCAGTTAATGAATTGCTAAGTTTGTAAAGAACGTAAGAACAAACACGTAAGTTATTGACTTGAGTTCACTCACTTTCCGTGTGCAGTTTCTCCAGAAAGCATGATAGCATCAGCTCCTTCACGAACTGCAATTGCTATATCAGATACTTCAGCCCTTGTTGGTGTAGGGTGATTGATCATACTTTCTAGCATGTTTGTCGCCACAATAACTGGCTTCTGCATGCTGTGGCACCTTCTAATGATATCTTCCTGTAAACAACAGAGAGAAAATAGCATTATAAAAAATAAATAAAAAACATAGAGAAAATAGAAACAAGGGATTTGAATCAAGCACGTCACTGGCAAAAACGGCCACCGACCATCAATAGACATTCTTGGACGCTCATATTGAAAAAACCAAACAACAGGAAACCAATCTGGCTCCTTTTAGGATCTCAATTAGAGTTAAAGATAAATTGTATCGATCATGGAATCAGTCAGCCATTTGGTATCATCTTTGCTTAGTTCTGACAACTAGACACCTCCACAGCAATATCTTTCTCCTATATACATCCTTCCAGTGAAGTTCTAACATGAATATGACCCGTATTATTTTCTAGTTGCTTTTTTCAAAAGCCCAGTACGAGTATTACCTGCAACAGAGGAACTTCCTCGATTGGAAGTTCAGCACCGAGGTCTCCACGAGCGACCATAGCCTGCATAGAGTAAGGGGCCATAAACACTAAGTAGTAAATTCCAATGTATCTAGAAATCAACCCTCGTCAATGGATGTCTAATGTGTTAATTAACAAAATTTAAACTGTCAGTGATCAAGAATACTGAAAACTAACCCCATCGGAAGCAGAAAGTATTGAATGAAGATTTGGAATAGAATCAGCACTTTCTATCTTTGGGATCACATGGATGTCTGCATTGTTGCCTACACGAGGTTTTCAACAGTAAAAGGTTAGATGAGAAGAAACAAAGGAGCATTATGTGCAGACCAATTAAAGTGAGAAAGTGAAAAATTGGCTCACTCTTAAGATAATCTTTCAACTCATGGATCACGTTAGCATCCTTAACGAATGAGACAGCATAAAAATCAACCTGGTTGTCCACTCCAAATTTGATATCATCCCAGTCCTTGTCTGCTCGAAATTTCAATTCACAGCAAACAGAATTGTTTTGGTAAGAGAGGAATGAAGCAAATCACTTAAGTGCACGCATACAGCTCCAGAATCAAAAGAAATGTAGCATTGAAGGATGAAAATGAACAATTACCTGTAATTGATGGAAGAGTTGCACTTTTACCACGCACGTTCAAATGACGACGTGATTTTAGTTCCCCACCATCAACTACTTCACATTTGACCACCTCCTTTGACTTAGCTGTCACAACTAACGACATCATTCCACCTACCAAAGCAAGCAGAAAACAAATCAAAATTTCTTTCAAGCAGGATACAGATCAAATGTCTTAAAATATAAGCTACATCGTTCCCCTAAATCCCCTCGCACCAAAATTGGTCATTCAACTTCAATACTTCATCAGACAACAGCTGAACTTAAACATGAGTCAACGGATGATATAAGACCTCAATACTTACCATCCACAAGTAGAGTATCTCCAACCTCCACATCATTCACGAAGTCGTCGTAATTCACACTCACGGTGTCCTCAGTTGCAACACCTCTTTCGATTGTGAAATTAAATTCTTGACCCTCCTCGAGATTGATTGGCTGAGGCAAATCTCCACTCCTAACCTCAGGACCCTACATCAAGACCAAGACCCCAAAAGTCTTCAACATATAGAATGCAGACCAAATTATGCAAGGGACTTGTTTTCCACTAGCAAAATGCAAACGCAGTACCTTGGTATCTAGCATAATCGCAATAACTTTGTCCTCAAACTGCGCATTATACTCTTTAACCAGATCAACGGTCTTCTGATGCGAGGCATGGTCTCCATGCGACATATTCAAACGAGCCACGTTCATCCCAGCTTCTGCAAGTTTCCATATCATTTCTCGGGAACTCGTGGATGGACCGATCGTGCAAACTATCTTTGTCTTCCTCAGAGCAATCGGCCTCGTCTTATCATTGCCCAATATATTATTCACTGCTACGCTGTCGGGAGCAGAGTTTAGCTTGTCCTAAAACAAATTAACAGCAATTAGACCATGATCTCAGACTTTTCCAAAGTAATGCTACAGAGAATCAAAATCAAATCCATAAACACTGCAAAGCAACGGATTATAAAAAAAAAGGTTGATCGGAATATTCCCTCTCGTTGCCATATCAACATCCCAAGAAGATAATTACAAAGTTAAGCAGAAACTAACACTGATTAATTATCAATAAGCACATTAGCCATTCTCCACCAAATGCTCCTAATCACAAATACAAGGGAATCTGTATTTCTCCTAATCAAAATGATTAGGCAATCCGTATTTGTTTCCTAATTCAAACAGTTCAATACAATGGTAAAGAAGACGGAGAGAAACTCACAGCAGGTACGGGACCGTTGGGCGAGATTGGAATGTCGGGCAAGGGAACAGACGCCTCAGAGAGCTTCATCGATCTAAGCTTAAACCCCGAAGGAACGGTTCTCCTCGCAGGTTTTCCGACGTAGAGGAAGGCGGCGGAGCGGTCTCCGCCGGCGAAGCTTCTGGAGGAGGAGAAGCGGCGGGAGGCGTCGGCGGAGGTTCTACTGGAGACCATCTGGTTGTTGATTGCCGCCATTTTTTCCTATCAGAAGTTTTCAGAAACTCTCTCTTCTTTTGGTTTTTACAACAGTGGGAGCTTGTGGTGATTATAAGGAGGGGAGACGGAGGAGTTATTGATGGTGGAGGATGGACAGTTGGCGGCGAGTGGCGGTGGCGGAACTGTCGAAGCGTTCGCTTTTGCCAGCGGCTGCGCTCTGTGTTCTTCGTATTTGTGGACCTAAAACAAGAAAGACGGGGCAGACACGAGGGAGGTTTGGGAGTTCCGCCCCGATTTCTTCGCCCACGCGCGCAGCGCAGCCGTCAAATTGCCACCCACCCCGCCTTAGTATTTTTCTTCTTAAGCAAACAAGTCCCTCAACTTTTGTTTTTATCGAACACACACTCCTATCACCTCTACTCAAACAATTTGACAACTACTCTTGCCAACTAGGTTAGAACTCAAACAACAATCATTTACGTTAGACCGAGGGGCGGAGCTACCTTGTGCCTGGGGCCCCGGCCCCCAGAATTTTGGAGATCGCGTGTAAAAATATCGAAAATTTTGATAATTCTGAAGAAGTTAACTATTGTAGAATAACAATATCGTGCAATAATAAGTAACAATGTGTCGGTCTAGTCTAACGGAATGCAACAACTGCTTGGTATTTGTGAATACCCAGTATCATGGTTCAATCCCTAGCAGCAATATTGTTTTTTTTAGTTTTCCTACTTTGGTTGAGTTTTTGTTTAAAATTTAGACTGATCACTTAACTTTTGTACTTATTCAAATACTTTGGAGCTTATAATATTTTTCCAATTTAGATAATTAAATTTCGGAGTCTAGATAATTAAATTTTGAAGCTTATGACTCACTATATAAATATTAATTTTTTTACTGATATTATACAATAAAGTCCGCTCCCCCTCCCCCCCCCCCCCACTGGATCCTAGCTCCGCCCCTGGTTAGACCATAATCATGAGGCTATCCCAACATAAACCTTACTAAATTCACAAATATAATTCACTTAACTTTTGTACTTATTCAGTTTGTATTTATATCTTTTTGTACATATTCTTTTTATGACACAAATTGAATTTATAATTTTATATATTATTATATCATTTGAACTTATACTTCTAACATTAGTGTACAAATTTAATTTATAAATCAAAACAATAGAAGAATGTCTCACACCAAAGAGCATATCCTCCATGAAATATGCGGGATGAATGCAAACAAGTAAAAATGAACTTTGTCCCAGTTCGTTGTGAATAATCCAGAATTTTACACGTGGAAATAGTAGCCAGCCAGCCAGCTGGCAGGAGCCAGTTGGAGTGTTGGACTTGCTATTGCACCATTTCAGCGTTGACCGACGGAAGCGACGACTGGCGTGTGTAATCCAGGCGCCATTCGGGCAAGTGGGGTTCTCTAGCCAAATTCCCTCATTTTATTTTTTGAAAATTTCGAAACAAATTAATTACTAGGGCACAATTGAATCGCCAAAAGTACAGTTTACCGTAGGGTTTATTGGCTTAATTAAGGCAACAGTAAAAGAGCAGCCCCGCCCTTGGATCTACGCCACGTGGTGTTAAACTATCATCCAACGGCAACTACGAACTCATTCGTGACGGGACTCTTATAAGGCACAAAGCAAAAGGAATATTCCCCCCTCCTCCAGTACAAAACTTCTGGCCCATCTGAGCTCAACGACGCCGTTTGCATAGACGCTTTTAGTTTCCAGGAAAATATCGAAGAGGAAGAGAAGCACGTGCAACTCGCCCCCGCTAAGCGCTATCTTCTAAATTTTGTTATGGAAGCAAGCGTGCTGTTTGATTTAATCACTTAAGATTATTATTATTCATTAATTATTTCGGCTAATCTCCATTACTCTTCTAAGTCTAACTTCATTCAACGAGGGGCGCATCACTTGTTTGTAGAGGATGAGATTTTGAAAATTGATTCTCATATATCCTACCAAATATTTTAAGAATGTGTGTGTGGATATGCAAAAGGAAATAATTCCTATGGAATGAACCATTTACTAATTAATGCATACATAGCCTCCAAATGCCTATTTGTCATTTTAGCCCTCGATTTGTCCTTTTAGTCCCTTTGGTTGTGGACAGTCTAATTAATGTGGACATACTTGAGTTTTGTTCCTAATATGAAAACCAATTGACCACGTAGCTAGTCCCTTGGCCTTTTGTTGACCAGCCTAAAGGTATGGACTCTATATTCCCAGTGACCACATCGGTTGTGCCGTGCGTACCACTTTCTCCCGTCTATAATTTTGTATCGACATGATGCATAGGGTCGGGGATTTCAATTAGGGGTGTAAGTTTCGCCCTAAAAATCCACTGACCCCTCTCGAGCCGTCCCATTCCTGAGGGTCAGTTTAGGGATGAGTCAGCTTTTGATCCTATAAGGGTCGAGACGAGTCGAGTCGACTTAGAGACAAGTCACTTTTTGACCTTATGGCCCTTAGCAACAACAAATATCTCATACCACATTGGACCTCTTTGTAAAAGTTTAAAAGGTGAGGTACTAAATTGCAAAAACAAAAAATTTTGGGTACCAAAATGTAATTTTACCATAAAAATGTAAGGACTTATTTGTAAAAAAATTAATTTTTGTATACTAAATTGTAAGAAAAAATAATTTTGGGTACCAAAACATAATTTGTAAAAAAATAGTGTGTAGATTAGGGTCGACCGACTGACCCGACCCGTCCCGACCCTTGAGGGTTAGACAGGGTTAAGATGGAGACAAGGACGAGACGGGTCAGTTTTACATCTTGACCCTTCAGGAACGGGTCAGACAAGGTCAGCGACGGAACATGGACAAGTCACGGCAATTTTCAGCTCTAATTCCAATTCCCGCGAGTGTGGGTTTCTGAGGGAGCGGATCAGGTCAGTAACTCTATGGTCAGTAACCATGATTAACCTGTCCACATCAGCATGACATTAGTAGCCTATATCTCTCTTGGAAAGTCTTTAATCTTTTCCTCTTTAATCTTTAACGAACGATTTCTCTCTCGTTTTAAGTCGAAATTTAATTTAATTTTTTTTTCACAGATAAATCGGATTAAATATGCTCTTCAAAATGATATACACTTTGATATATTTTTAGTACAAACAAAATTGAATAATTTTTTATCAGTCATTACCATATGGTATGCTCCAATTTAATATCATATGGTAAGGAAGCGTACCATGATGATATGAACATACCAATATGGTAAGAAGGTTGAATACATGATAGTAGGAGTATATTAACTGTCATTTACGACTTTCATCATTGTTTATTACAAGTTACCAATCACATACCATAGTGGTAAAGTATGGTAATTTTTTATCCAGTATATTTTTCACCCAGAAATTTATAGATCCAATTGATCATGATGAACTCGTTTCTTCTGAGCAAACGTTTTAAAAAACGACTTTAAAACGAAGAAGTTACCATATGGTATGTAGTTGGTAAAAAAAAATTTCTCAAAATATATTGAAAATTGATCTCATTTTGTAGAGCACAACGAACTCATTCCATCTGTGCAAAAAAATTGAAATCCGAGTTAGAACGAAGAAGATAAGAGTCAATTAAGAAAACTAGAGAAAATAAAATACTTGAGATTTACAATCCTTAGATCTGAATTTTGTGGACCCACTTAAATCTAAAGGTTCAGATTTAATTACTCATAGGAGGCTAGTAACCATTGGTTACTGACCCTATCTTAGGTATCTGATCCAACTTTCATGGGTTAATTAATTCTCAACTTTGGGCTTCCAAAAGTGTGGCCTTTTGGCCCAATTCTTCCATATTGTGGTATTTTGGGCTAATTGTAATTCAGGTGGACAGCCTACCACACCAAGCAGGACTGATCAGGAAATTAAACAAAGGTCGCCGTGGCACAGCATCGTCGCCCTGCCAGTCTCCACCGCCGATTGGAAATTGGAAGGGGATGGCCTCAACTATTCCAGCACCGGCAAGGAAGAAGGGCTCCGTCCTAGCTCCGACCACCATCCAGTCTCTCAGCCACGACACCCTTTGCGTTCTCTTCTCCTACCTCGACATCTTGGACCTCGTCCGCTGTTCCGCCGTCTGCAATTCATGGTACCTCTCTTCTCTCCCCGACAATACAAAGTAAAGCATGGTAAAAAAAAAAAAAATTAATCGAATTAGACGCATTCAGACTCCTGGCCGAGCCCCATTTCAGTATTCATTCTTTCTTCTTGGTGATCTGTAGGAGCTCAATAATCAAAAGGTCGAAGCTTTTGCAATCGTTGTACCTGAAGCAGATGAGGAGAAGTGGCAGGGACGTTGCGAGCCGAAGCAGCGATTCCTTGGAGGAATCGATGAGTGCGTATCTGGAAGAGCTAGCCTTGGAGCGCCATAGGCGTGCGTTGGTTAATGGTTGTGTTGTAATTGACCAGTGGAAGGGTCATTCAGCTGGGTAATCGTTTTCCCTTTTAGTTCTCTCTCACTCTCTTGTTTTTGTTTGCTCCTCCTGGTTTCCTCTTCTCTTCCCTTGTTTCATGAGTTTCTGTTGCTGTGTAATCTTAGGGTGAATCAATGCAGAATGAAAATGGGAATGATTCTTACAGGTGTAGGGGATAAGGTATATGATCCTTATTCTCTTCCTATATATTGATGATGTTTGCTTCAGATTTATCCTGTTTAGGTGGCCCATTCTGTAAAACTATCTTTGTTTTGATTTCCAACCTGTACCATGATACCAGGTTATTCGTCTTTGGTCATCAGAAAGCCTAAAGTGTGTCGAAGAATATCCAGTTCCTGATGCTGTCCGTCTTCTTGACGTTGATTTTGATGAGACCAAGGTAACTCAAGGGTGCTGTGGTTTCCGAGCTCATTTTGTTCGTAGGATCAGCTGCTCAGTGTCATGTTAACCTAACTGTTTGAAGCGTGACCAACCATTTTCTGAAGATAGAAATGGTGCACAATGTCTATCCTGACGGCTAGTGGCCATTATCACATTGACATTGAGTTGTAGTCATTTCTGCGTATTCACTTGCGTGATTTCAATCTCCTGTTCAAGGTCGAGCTGTTTTTCTTTTCTTTTAGCTTTCGTCAGAGTTGACAATCCCCAATGTGCTGCTCTGTGTACTTAGTCCATACTCCATAGTTAGGTCAGAGTACCAGTAAATTGGTTGTGGAAGATCATTGCTAAAATATGAAGTCAATCGGTGAAATGCTGTTGTTTTGCTATTTAAGCAATGATTTGGACAAATGAGCGCGAGGATAATGGTTCTGAGTTCTGACATAACCAACATGATCAAATTTCCCTCTCATTTTCTTAAATGTAGGTCGTTGGTTTATTTGGTACTCAATTAAGTATATGGAGGCGCAATGGTAAGAGAAGCATATTTCCCTCCAAGGAAGGCACGTTCAGCAAGGGCTCGTGCATGAGGTAGATTCTGTGTCTACTTATCTCTGAAAGTGATAATGCAGTTTGGACAAAACCAAGAGGAATTGCTTTCCACTCCTTGAATATGTATGCTGTTAAATATATCTTCTATTTGTGCTTGTTTTCTGTTTTATATTGATTTCGCTTGTTGGTAGGTACTTCGATCCAGATGCCGTGGTAGGCTGCGAGGACGGGACAGCGCGTGTGTTCGACATGTACAGCAGGCAATGTTCTCGGATTATTAAGTATGTAAAGTGACATCTTTTCTTTCCTTTTTGGTGATCTAATGTGTAAAACTAAAGCATCATATTTTCTTGACTGGAGGCTGTATCTTATGCACTGTTTGTATATTCCTGTTTCAAAACTCGCAGGATGCATCCTGAGGCTGTATCTTGCTTGTCTTTGGGCGACGATCAATTGATTATCAGCGGTTCCAGTTTGGGAAGAATTACAGTTTCAGGTCTGTCATTGGATGAGAAGATAGCTACACTCAAACCAACTGATTCCACTGGTATTGCTGTTTTCATCTCTCCTTTTTTTACCCTGCCTCTCTCTTGATTGTGCTGGAGCCTTATTGACTGCTTTCTAACGGTTCTATCTTCCCTAATTATTGCCGTGAAAGGCATATCTAGTTTATGTTTCAACCCAGAATCTTCTCTAGTATTCTGTGGAACTACTGCTGGATATGCGTCATGTTGGGATCTTAGGTATGTAAAATATGAACCCATATTTCAGCAAATACAACTACTAACTAAAGAAGTTAATGTCATTCATGTCTTTTCTCCGGCATATAGATGATCGCTGTGCAATCACTTTTTCTATTTAGAAAACTGAAACAAACACAATGATAAGAAAATATGCCTGTGTTTGCTTGCTGCTCCTGCTGATATTTCACCTCATCAAACTTTGCTTGCTCTCATTTCAGGAAGATGAGACAGTTGTGGAAAAGACGTGTGAGTCCAAATGTGGTATATTCTATGCACCACCTTCGCAACGACACTTCAGTTCTGGTGGTTGGGGGAATAGATGGGATTCTACGTGTTCTTGATCAGGACTCTGGAGAAGTTGTTTCGAGGTATGTGATGGACAATGCCGCTGTCCCTAGTAGTTTCGAATATGCGCATGGAGTAGGCGAGAGGAGGCCTGGTAAACGTATACCTAAAGATACCCAGATCGATGGAGTATCAAGAAATGCTCGACCCCCCATTACATGCTTGGCTGTCGGGAGGGAGAAGGTTGTTACGACTCATAATAGTAGGCACATTAGGCTTTGGAAGTTCAAGTGTAGGAGAGACTAGTCCTAGTTTGTATAGCTCAAAGGTACTGCTGCCCTCCTTTACCTTTGTAAGGAGTTATTGTTGTCTTGTGTTGTATTGTATCATATCATTGAACTAGATATATGCCCGAGACGTGCTCGGCCACGGTGGAGTACGCACTCGTATTATAATTATTGTTTGCTGATCCATGAATCAGGAGGCTGTCATAATGAAGTTAGAAGTTGTCTACAGGCTTCATTTCTCTCAGATGTCACAAGGTTCAAAAGCGGGAGGAGCGATCTATTCGTTTAAAATACACCATGAGGAAAGAGTTCAGGCAGTGATCATGATTCATGAGCAAGAAACATATCGAGAGAATTTTCCGAGGCTGGGATTGAGTATGTTCTCGTCATCTATCCGTGAGTTGGATCAAGCATTGGACGCAAGCTTAACCTTGTGAGATCTTTCCATATGCGGGAACTGAAGTTGTACATTCTATTGATAATAATCCCATCTATCCAGCAACATATCAAACGAAGATTGATTACAACTAAAGATCAATCTGACCAATAACCAGTTACTCAAGCTGGTTCTGTCATCTCAATGATGGTTGTGTCATATGTGAGCTCCTGGAACATTAAAGATTCTCGATTGGTACTCTAAATCATTTCATATTCACTGATCGTTTGTTCTTGGTCTTGTGGGTTTTACTGATCTTTGTACTTCAAACTTTGTTGTCCATTAGTGCTAAGAATGGAAGTTGTTTTCCAAACTTATTGATCCTTTTAGCTTTGTTGCGGTATAGTACAACATCGCTGTGTACAGTTCATCACACATGCATCCTCTTGTATAAATATCCCTTTTCATGGTTCCTACAATTGTACAGAAAGGCGAGAGTGCTGTCATCTTACACGTTGCAGCTGCAGTACTGTCAGCCAGTCGCCAAAGATTATTCCGTAGAATTGTTACTTGGATGTTGGCCGAGCTGCAAAGCCAGAATCAAGTCAATGGCTCTAGGTACTCGGTTCTTAAGCAAAGCTGGGGGCTAGGTTGCAGCAATTCCCGTGCATCACAATTCACACGAGCTTACCTCTTGCCAACAGAAGCATCGTATATACCAACTAAGAACCACCCACAACTCCATTGCGCCGACACAAAAGAAAAGGGGGGGGGGGGGGGGGGGGGGGGGGGGGGGGGGGTGTAAAAGCTCCAACTCGATCTGCCCAGGGATGGAATGGTTCTGTAACAATATCTTCCAAATTGAAGACACCCTCAGGCTTTTGGGCAAAAAGATCATTCCAACTAGAGAACTGTTCGAAAAATTCACAGAATGTACCTCCAGAAACTGGAGCTAAAACACAACAATTTGACCAAGTTGCCAAAGCAACAGTCAAGTAATGCTTAACCTCCATATTTAACCAAAACCTACCCAGGCACTATCATCAAGATCCCGTATAAATGAACCAACTCAAGAAACAACTGAAAGCTATTTTTGGAAAGCAAAGATAGCAAGACACTACTATAACATCCGTCTAAACTTACTTGGCCTTGCTCACATCAGCAGTTCCTTCTTCTTTGGAAACTTCTGTGGTATCTGCGTTTTTCACATCAGTAGCTCTTTCTTCTTTGGCAACTTCTGTGGGATCTCCGTTTTTCACCTCAGCAGCTCCTTCTTTGGCATCTCCCTTTTCGCTATAACAGAGATCGGGATAGTTCCTATGGTTTAGAGAGTGCAACCACAAGCCTACAACTCCTTCCTTGTGTTCCATGGATGCAATGTGCGGATATATGTGCTTCATTTTGAAGTCTTCAGCCTCTTCCTCATACTCCTTCATCGAAACTTCTTCATGGGTGTCTTTCCATTTCTGGTTATACGACGTGAAGAAGCACTCGTCCAAGTATAAACCCACCTCAGGAGCTGTCGGCACGGTAAGCCTAACCATCCTATGACAAAGAATACAACATGTGTTAGTACTTAAGTAACACTTGATATGCATAGCTAATTGCAATGCAAGAAAACTAGAGAAAGCAAAAAAGAGGGAGGGATTTACTTTTGTAATGCGGTTTTTATCAGGGACTCAGGTGCAGCATTCCTCATGATTGCCACAGCTAGCCCCATCATCTTGCGAATCTGGTGGAGCATGAAGCTCTGCCCCACGACTTCACACTTCACAAAATCCATTCCATCAACCGTGACCACGGTGTTTGCAGTGAATGAAACAATGTAGCGCCTAGCCGAAGGGTCGTCAGCCGTGATTCTGGTTGTGAAGTTGTGAAAATTATGACTGCCTACATAGTAACCCAATATTCTATTGAACCTCTCCCTTTCTTCCTCCCCATAACAGAACTCATTCGCGTTTGCCACTGTTTCATCTACATCAATCACAGCAATGGCATCCGCTTCTTTCTCCACTACTTCTGATGATACATTATCATAACCAGAATTCCCATTGTCTACACATACTGAAGCCTTCTCTATTATCTCAGATTCCATTTTAGCATTCCCTCCAGTCAGCATGACATCTTGAACGGGCACTTCAGTGTCTTTTTCACTTGTTTCTCCCCTACCGTCCAGCAAAATGTCTGACTGAGAAGCCACAGCATCCCCATCATCTAAACACACAGTCTCCTCCTTCATCTCAGATTCTATATCAGTATTCCCTCCCTTCAACAGAACATCTTCAGCAGGCAATTCAGGTCTATTACCTTCTTTCAGTAGAAGATCACGCTTATTACCAACAGCTCCAATGACCTTCCTCCCCCTCTCCGAACACCCGAGACACTTAACAAGCTCAGAGCCAGATCCTAAACTAGCCATCACGCTCTCCCTATCGCGATGCGAGGATTCATCAAGGGCGAAAACAGGGATCAGATACACATACCTCCTCCTATCGCAGAACTTCTTCGCATTGAACGAAGCAGTCACCCGCTTGTGCCCGAAGATCCGAAACTGCGAGGGAAGTTCCGAGTTCAGCCGCTCCACGAGCCCCGGAGGATCGATGTAGAACCGCCCAGAGATGACCTGCCCGACTGCGCTCACGCCCTTATCAGTCCGCGCCGATCGAGCCCAGTCATATCGCTTCGGACACCCGCGGTCCTGTTCGGGTACGGCGCCGGCGCGGAAAAGGGCTTCCTCGAGGTCGCCTTCGATGGTTTTAGCGCCAGGGTTTTTCTGCATCCCTTGGTAGCCCACGCCGCAGTAGGCGAAGAATATGGCTACCTTCCGCCGCTTGTACCTCGGCTTCCTGATCCCGGCGTCGGCCGGATCGCCGCCGGGAACGGTTGTGGGGGCGGTTTCTTCATCGTCGGAGGTAGTGGTGGTGGACATTTTCGACCGTTTGAGTTCTGGCTCGTGTTGTACTGGCGGGGAAGATGTGATTTTTGAATCCGAGCTTTCCATTTTTCTATCTATTGCGCTCTGAAACGGGAAGCCTCCATGAAATAACTGGGACGTTTCAACTCTTTGCTCGGCGGCGGCCCGGAACTTGTTTCTGGTGAGAGAGACGCTGGATTCTTTGGTCGCTCTAGTGGCGCAGGCGGCGGAGGGCTTGGTGGAGACGGCGGGGAATAAGTAGGATGATGGTTGGACGGCTCTCTGGTTTGGGTATGTGAGATTGAGAGAAGACTGAAGAGAAGAGGAAGCAGATTCACAGCTTCCCTTCCCTAACTATTTTGAGAATGGGTTTCTTTCTGGTGGGGACGTAGGGTTACTAGGTGGAGATTTCAAAATGGCCCACTTGGTTAGGGCTTAGGAGTGGGCTTGTTTGCGAATGGGCTAAGATAAGAATTGGGGCTGGGTTTTTTAGTTTTAAGTTTTTGCTTGTCCGAATTTTCACTTCTATTTTTTTTTTTTTTACTATTATCAAACTTAAGGTATAAATCTAATAATTACTTATAGACCGTTTGGTACCAAATGAATCGAGAATTCATTTCATTGTAAAATGAATTACCATGTAGAATTTATTGTCAAATGAAATCCTATGTTCGGTATGTTATATTCAAATCTTTGGAAATAAAATTAAGTGTCGTGTAGAATTCATTATGAATTCTTGTGTTTGTTATGTCATATGTATAAGTAATTTAGTTAATAAAAGAGGATAAACAAGTCATTCTATTATAATTAGTAAATTCTTGTGGAATTCATTTGGAAATTCCATCTCAATTCCTCGGAATTGCTATAACTAGTTCCAATTCCGTAGAATTCAAAATTTAGAATTGAATATGAATTCTTTTTAATACCAAATATGAAAAATATTTCATTTCAAAATGAATTCCTCAAAACTTAATAGAATTCATTTATACCAAACAATATGTTACTTCATATCCTAAATATTGAATTTTTCTACATTTGATGCTCTTACGTTCCCGCTTCCGCTCTATGAATTGGTTACCTAAGGACAGACTAACAGTCTCAGATCTTTTCATTTCTATTTTTTATTTTCCTCCGATAACAAGCAACCCTCGAAAAGGATATTAAAATTTCTGTTGAATATGCGGATGGAATAATTTTCTATAAGCGCAAAAAGATGGGATAATTCTCAATTATTACCAATTTTTATAGTATCAAGTCATTATTACTTTCTTTGGAAATTTTGTTTGTATACCATCGGTTTTAAAATCAGTTTTGTACCTGCTATCCAATAAAGGTTAAACCTCTCACTAATTCGGATCACAGCAAGATCCAGTTTTGACAACATCGTTCTCGGCCTAGTAAACCAGTAGTTAATTGGCTTTCTGAGGTTCCAAGTGGCCAGTAGCACGATGGAACTCACTCCATTAGGGCTGGCTATTTGGTCCCAGACTGTTTGGTTTTACCCGAAACCGGACTGTATAACCCGGACCGGGACCGGACTGGGACCAGATAGCAAACAATGCAATCTCATATTCAGGCTTAGATTTGAGGTAAAAACCGGATAAAGACCGGATAAGAGACCCCCAACACCTAAAATCAAGATAATATTGGGACCGGATCGGATCAAGACCGGACTGTATTCAATCCAATTTTTGGTCCTTATATTCTCTAAAAGACCAAACTGAGATCGGATCAATTTGGTCCAATTTAACCGGACCGGACCGTATAGCCACCCCTACCCTCCATATTCCCTATTTCACGACCAGATTGAGATGGACCGTCGACAAACATTCTTACCACCATCGAAATGGAGCCATTAATACGTCGTTTTTTTTTTTTTTATCATCGGTAGCTAAACTACTCAATACTCTAGCCACTTCCCTTCCCTGCTACCCACTCGAACCAACAATCAAATATAATACGGACGAAATGACTACCTGTTAAATACAATTAATGTTGGGTTTAGTTAGTTGTTGCAAAATCCTTAACCAACTTGATCAAGTAGCTAAATCCAATGCGGCATTATAGCCTTCATCATCTTCCATAGGGACGGGATACGGTGACAACTCCTAAGGGGGTTGTCAAATTCACAACTAAGGGTATTTTGGGTATGAAAAAAAAGAATATATTAATTACCTTTTTTGTATTAATTGTATTGGGAATTAAAAACCCATATTAAATACAATTTTTTTCTAAAATTTAAATCCTATACATTAATATCTCTATTTATCTCTCTCTCTCTCTCTCTCTCTCTCTCTCTCTCTCTCTCTCTCTCTCTCTCTCTCTTTCTTTCTTTCTCCAGCAGCCACTCCGCATCGACCGGCAAAATTTTTCTCCGGCGAATTCTCTCCGGCAGACTCCCTCCGGCAACCTGAAAAAATGTACCAATGCGTTAAAAAGTGTACCAATCTATTAGTCTACTGGTAATTAATATACCAGTGCTAGTGGTACGCTACCAGTACGTTAAAAAATGTACCAGTACTAGCGGTACCAGTAAAAAATGTACCAGTACTAGTGGTACGCTACCAGTACAACGCTACCAGTAGAGAATAACACAACGCTACTAGCACTGTTAGCGGTACCAGTAGAGAATAACCCAAAAAAAAAAACAGATGATAGTGGTACCAGATGATAGGGAGCCACTGGTATTGGTACCAGTGAGTAGTGGTAGCGTACCAATAGCACTACCAGTGGTATTGGTACCAATAGTGCTACCAGTGGTATTGGTACCAATAGTGCTACCAGTGGTATTTGTACCAGTAGAGACTATCAGATCTGAAAAAAAAAATAGGGATGAGGAAAGAGGGAGGCAGGGAAGAGTCTTGACCTCGCGGCGGCGCGGCAGGGGAGGACAGCGGCGCGGCGCGGCGGGGGGAGGACAGCGGCGCGCCGACAGGGGAGAGGGAGCAGTTCCCTTCCTGCCGCCTGCTGCAGTGGTGATCATCAACCTCTAATTAATGGCGCGGTGGGCATGGGAGAGGAAGAGGGAGCTGCGGCGCGGAAGAAAGGCGAGGAAGAGGGAGCTGCGGCGCAGAAGAAAGGGAGGAAGGGAAGAAGGAGGTGAACGGCATGGGAGGGTTAGATTAGGGTTTTATTATTTTATATAGGAGGAAAAATGATTGGGTGTGGTAAGTTTTTTTCATCCCAAAAACACCCTTCTTTTCATCTCAACCTTCAATTTAAAAATGACAGGAGAGAGACAAGAGAGAGAATACATCTAATGGCTATAAAATAGGTTGTCAAACCCACAACCCTGTTAAGGGTTGTCACCATAACTCGTCCCTCTTCCATATGCTTCAACAATCAACGAATTCCACCTCATATTTCATCAATCCATGGATGCATTCTGAAGAGAGTATTGCAGAACAATATTGTTGTTGAAACTGACGTGCTTTGATTAATGATCTTCACAACTAATTATACAGGTACAGGGAGGCTTTGTAGCCAACAATACAGGACACGTTCCAGAGAAGTAGTAACAGAATGTAGTGGAGTAAATAAATAAAAGAAATAAATTCCTTTTTATGTTGTATTGCTAATACGCCCCCGCAAGACGGTGTTCGGATCGACAACACCGAGCTTGGATCTGAGAAGCAAAAACCGCATGGGTGGTAGAGGCTTGGTAAGGGTATCGGCGAGCTGGTGAGCAGTCGGGATGTAGGAGACGTGGAGACGACCAGCCTGCACTAATTGACGTACGAAATGATAGTCCAACGCGAGATGCTTCATGCGGGAGTGGAACACTGGATTGGAGCTGAAATAGGTGGCACCCAAGTTGTCGGAGTAGAGGGTCGGAGAGGATGGTGAGGGATGATGCAACTCAAGGAGAAGATTTTGAATCCATTCTAACTCCGCAGTGGCATGGGCGATAGCGCGATACTCAGCTTCGGTGCTGGACCTGGCGACAGTGCGTTGCTTTTGAGACCTCTATGAAACGAGAGTAGAACCGAGATAAACAAGATAGCCGGAGGTAGACGATCTATCATCCAAATCCCCAGCCCAGTCAGCATCCGCGAAGGCAGAGAGAGATAGAGCACCTGGAGTCCGGCAGATGGAGAGACCATGTGAAAGAGTGCCAGAGACATAACGAAGTAGACGCTTGAGGCACTGCCAATGATGAGCGGATGGAGCATGCATAAACTGCGACAGTTTGTTGACAGAGTAAGCAATGTCGGGACGTGTGTAAACCAAGTACTGAAGAGCCCCAATTACTTGACGGAAGCGAGTGGCATCCATAGCCGGAGATCTATCAAGAAGTGAGAGAGACACAGAAGCAGCAAGCGGTGTATCGGCGGGGTTGAGATCAGTCAGCTGGAACCGGTGGAGAATATCAACCATATACTGATGATGAGAGAGTAGATAGCCAGTAGCTGTAGGAATGACTTCAATACCAAGAAAGTAATGAACGTCACCAAGAGCCTTGAGGGAAAACCGGGTGGAGAGAGCCTGTTGAAATAATTCAAGTGTGCGGGAGTCATTCCCAGTAAGAAGTAGATCATCAACATATACCAAGAAGTAGAGTAGATGAGGCCCATGAGAGTAAACGAAAAGAGAGGCATCAGAGTGTGTCTTTGTGAAGCCAAACTCAAGAAGGAAGTCAGTCAAAGCAGTGTACCAAGCCCGAGGGGCCTGACGAAGACAATATATAGCCCGGCGAAGACGACACACATGATGAGGGTGAGCGGGATCAATAAAGCCTGGGGGCTGTGACATATAAACCTCCTCTTGTAATGGGGCTTGCAGAAAAGCATTATTAACATCAAACTGCAAAATAGGCCAATTATGTGAGAGAGCAATAGTAAACACGGTGCGAACCGTGACGGGTTCAACCACCGGACTAAACGTGTCACCGAAGTCAATCCCTGGGCGCTGATGATAACCTTTGGCCACGAGCCATATTTTGAACCGTTCAATAGTACCGTCAGAGTGATGTTTGACACGGAAAACCCACCGATTACCAAGGGCATTGTAGTGCGGAAGGCGAGGCACTAAGTCCCAAGTGCAATTTGCAAGCAGGGCACTATTTTCAGCAGTGAGTGTCGCGCGCCATTCCTTATAGGCAAGAGCCTCACGCACGGAGCGAGGGTGGAGAGGAGGTGCTGGGCCGGTGAAGACAGTGGCAAAGAGCCTCTTTTTGGGCTTAAAAATGCCCGATTGGGCCCGAGTCTTCATGCTGTGGGAGCGGGCGGGCGGAGGTGGTGGGCCTGGCAGAGAGGGCAGCCCAGCTGGCGGTGTGTGAGGCGCAGTGGAGAGGCTGGACGGGCCAGATGGGCCATCGTCGGATGGGCCAGTGAGGGACGGCCCAGGCGAGTCTGGATCATGCTGGGGGGGAAGCAGCAGCCGGGGAAGGAGTGGGCCCAGGGGCTGGTGATGTCGTATGGGCCGGAAGTAGTGTGATGGGGGGAGAGGAGTCCATTAGCCATGCAGCAAGTGGAGGAAGCTTAGCAGGAGAGGAAGTGCAATACCCTGGAAATTTATCCTCAACAAAGATAACGTGGCGAGAGTAGAAAAAACGGTGAGAGGCAGAGTCAAAACAACGGTAAGCACTACGTTTAGGACAATATCCAAGAAATAGACAAGGACGAGAACGCGGAGCAAGTTTATGGGGTGCATAGGGACGAAGCCAAGGGTAACATAAACAACCAAAAACACGGAGTTTATGGTAGTTGGGTGATAAATTGAAAAGAAGGGTGTAAGGAATTTTACCACGTAAGGCAGATGAGGGGAGGCAATTGATAAGATAAATGGCGGTGGAGAAGGCAAAAGACCAAAAAGAGAGTGGAAGTTTGGCGTGATGAAGAAGATTTATACTGGTTTCAACCAAATGACGATGTTTGCGTTCAGCAAGCCCATTATGCTCTGGTGTATGGGGAGGAGTGAGAAGATGGGTTATACAATGATTAAGAAGATCAGTGCGAAGTTTTTGAAATTCACCACCACCGTCAGTGTAGAGGTGACGAATGGTAGTGGAAAAATAATTCTCAACCATTTTCCTAAAATCGAGAAAAACTTGGAGCACATCGGATTTTCGACATAAAGGATAATACCAACTATAGCGAGTAAAGTGATCAATGATAATCAAATAGTAACAATACCCATCCATAGAAGAAACAGGGGCAGGTCCCCAAACATCAATATACAGAAGATCAAAAGGGCGTTCACTAGACAAAGACGAGATGGAAAAAGGCAGTTTGTGACTTTTATTCGAAAGACATGCATCACAGGAAGAACTAGTGATCGGTGAGGAAACTGGAAGGGAAAAAGAGCGAATAAGATTGGTAAGTGATTGAAGAGAAGGATGACCAAGACGAGCGTGCCACGATGTTGCAAAAGTCCGAGTGGTGACCATGGCCATGCGAACATTCTCCACCTCTCGCGGCAATTCATAGACATCACCGTTGTTTTCCCCCCTCAGCAACTGCGCCCCCGTGCGAAGATCCTTCACAAGAAAA